TTTTGTACATTTTTTATTGTAAAAATGCTGTATGGAGGAGTTACAGTTACATGAACAAAGTAATGAGTACATTTCCTATTGAGCATTGTTGCCTCTTCCTTTGCTTTGTTTTCCTCCTACCATCCCTTTCCTCCCACCTCCACAACTACCCCCTCTCCTCCCCCCTGCTGAAGTTGTAAAGTTCATTTTCAACATAGTGTTTTGTACATCTCATTGTTACAATGGGTCAATATGTATCCTTATTTAAGCATTTTGTTTTTTCCTTTCCCCTTCCCGAATTAGAAAAGTGTATATACAAGATGCAGGGCACCAACATCAAATACAGTGAAAACAGGGATTATACCATGGGGGAGGAACGTACAAAGCAATAAAAATTCACATGGTACATTATAAGTATGTTAGAAACAATAGCAAGAAAGAAAAAAGATATTTGTGTCCCTATCTTGGGGTTCATTTCACTTAACATTATCTTTATGTTTCCTATGTTTCTTTGGGCCTGACTTACTTCACTTAATATAATTTTTTCAAGTCTTTCCATTCCTAACAAATGGGTCATTGTCATTCTTTCTGATGGAGGCATAGAATTCCATTGTGTATATATATACCACATCTTGATCCATTCATCTACTGAGCAGAAAAATATTTTTGATATGGAAGACATCTTGATGAGTATGCACTGTGGAGTCTAATCTTAGCCAAATCTCCTCAGTCCCGAGGTAGCTCATGACCTGAATTGATTTACTTAGGGGTCAATGAGCTTCCTGGAAATGCAAGCAAGAGGTTTGTGTTTGTGCACATTTCTTGGAAGAAGGCCACAGCTCTTGCCAGATTCTCAATGGAATCCCTGAACCAAACAAATTGAGTAAGGCATAAAGTTCACCAGAATCCCATGCACTGCCCATGGTGCCTAATCCCAGTAGTGCCTCCCTATTCCACCCTGTTTCCTTGAAGCCATCTTCAGCACTCCATTTACACTAGCATGACTTGTGAGCTTAATGACATTCTAATAACTCAGTGCGTGAGTGTGTTTTATCTTTTACCAAAATTGCCATTCTCAAACCCCATTATGGTTGCCTTGTGTTTAACTAGTTCCATTAATTGAGTGCTTCAAATCTTTTCAGAAAGTGCTAATTCTGAGTCATCTAAATTCTGTATAGGTTTTTATTTCAGTCAATTTTGTCTGTTTTAGATTGCTATACAAAGGAGAGAGGCTAGAATTTCAATACGTTTTGCCACATCAAATGTTGCAACACATGCACGCACATGTACACACACACATATTTGAACTGGGTCTTGTAATATAGTTCAGGTTGACCTCAAACTTGGGAAGTTTTTCTACCTCTGCCTATGGAATACTGAATTTATGAGTGTGCATCACCATTTCTGCCTTTTTATCATTGTTGGAGATTGGATGGCTGCAAGGCAAGAGCTCGACTACTTGATCCACACACTGCTTTTTGTTGTACTAGAAGATAGATGCTTATCATAAAATCAGTCAGTCATCTTTGAGTTAAATGCTTACTGCAATTCAACAACATTCAGAGACATTTGACTTTAGTGTGTTACTTCTTCAGTGGCAGAAAAACAAAAGCAGATTTTTGGAGATGTTGACCTTTAAAGTCTAAATAGTATTACCCCTTTATAATAAGCTTACCTGTCTTCTCTAAGATAAATCGTACTTAAGAGTCTCTACACTGTTATGTTGCAATGTAAAATAGATTTATTTCAGACCTTAGAGTTTAAATTCTACTGACTTTCAGAAAATAATTACCTCCATCTTGGCTAGCATCCCAGGAATATTGGCATCCCATTATGACACTGTTATGAATGATCCTGCTACAGCTGTTCCAGGTACCCCCTCCATTAGTCCCATAATGCATTCCTCTCTCGAAATGATCATTACCTATACATCCATAAGCTCTTTCTTGGATCAGCAATGGACTCAGGAGAGCTGGCCAGGAAGTAGTGTTATTAATTCTTCACAGAAGAGCCAAATATTGTACAACTGAGGTCATATTGGATAAAGGATGTAGAAAGTACTTTCTGTAAGGTAGTAGCTTCCAAACTTGAGTATGCATCTTATTCTTCCTGCAGGAAAGTTAAAAACATGTATTACAGGAGCCCCTTTTCAGAATCTTTGACTTTGTATTTCTAGTAAATTCCCAGGTAACGGTGAGGTTGTTGATTGAGAAAACTCATTTTGAGAAAAAGTGATCAATGTTTTCACACTGATTCTTATATGAACTAGGCAGGACAGAAATAAATCATATCGTAAGAAACTTGTACTCTAGTAGAAGAGATAAAATATTTGTATGAGGAGGATAATATATGCCTTTACAGATGAACAGAAGAGTAAATAGAATACAAAAAGGGAGATGAAACTTCCAGTCTAGGAATTAGGGAGCCTTTGTGGAGCAGATGGCATGTAACTAGGTGTTGATATATGGGTAGAGTTTATAAATGTAAAATGTAGGATTTAAAGTAAAAATAGATCCTATAATATAATGAAAACAACACCATTATTTTGACTAAAAATTTCCACAGTAATTAATAGATTGCATTTAAAAGCTGTAAAACAATTGAAAAATTGCTCCCAGAACAGTCAACTTCGTGTGTGTGTGTGTGTGTGTGTGTGTGTGTGTGTGTTTCTAGGGATCAGACTCAAGGCTTCACACAAGCTAGGAAATCACTCTCCCACTGAACTACAACTGTAGTCCAGAGTAGTCAGGTTTTCAGAATCAGAAGGAAGAGTGATGTTTGTCAGCGTCTTGGGGACAAGAGGAAAGGAGATGTATTGTTTAATGGGCACAGCTTTGTAAGATAAAAAATGTTCTGCAGATGAATAGTAATGGTGGTATAAAACATTACCGTCTCTTATCATTTATTTTTATTTTGCTATGTGTATTTATGCTATGTGTATTTTACCACAAATTAAGAAACTGAATGTTTTTCTCACTGTATTAAATATTTTCTGAGTGTTTGAGAAATTTACTCTTGTCTTCTTTGAAGTGATCCATCTTCTTTTAAAAAATAATTTGAGCAATAATTTGCATAACAAAAACTTAGCAGTTATAACTATAGCATTCCATGTAAACTTACTGATTTGTTACCATATCAAATCACTTTTAGAATGTTTCTATTGTCTCAAAAAGTTTTTGGCTCCTCTGGTAGTCAATGTCTATTTTTGCTCTAGACATACACTGAACTGTCTTCTGTTTTTGTAGATTTTTTTCTTTCTTGGTTATGTCACATAAATGCAATCATATAATATGAAGTCTTTTGCATCTAGCTTCTCTTACTTAGCATACTATTTCTTAGTAAGCAGTAATTTTCATAGCTATTTGCTGGCTTTATCACTGCACTGTGACAGAGGCTTCAGTGCTTTCTTATGCTATTTTTTCTTTTAAATTCTTGGAAGATGGAAGATTCCAAGTGGAACAGGTGCTGAAGATTGACTTCACTTTGGGTACTGTGATTTTTATTACAGAAATTATCAGAAGACTTGGGTTTTTAAAATAATTTATTTCAGTGGTTCCTGGAATAAGCCATGCAGAGATCTAAAGAGAAATAATTCACTCAGACTTAGATGAAAAGTTTGACAAATGACAGAAATTTCTCCCTCACAGCTTGGTTGAATAGACTTGAGAAAGAATAAAAGGCAATAGCCACCCTGGGTCACCCTGAAGTCTGCATATTGGTGGGGGAAATCATTCTCTTCAGTTCCAGGGCCACAGAGAGCTAGAATCTTCACTCAGCAGCCTGAGCAAGGTCAGTGTAAAAACTCAGGAAACAAAAACAGGTATAAAGTCAGTACCTTTTCTTGAATCTTATTAGTATTAGCTCACTGATCTGGGACATTTAAAACCCTACTGATAAGCACTACCATTCATTCAGCTGAATCTCTGAGTTCCCAAGCCCATGAAATATAAGGTAAATACTCCCAGATATCTAAAATCAGGAGTTCTTGGGTAAATATATGGGAAATGAAAGTTTTTTTTCTATAGCAAGCAGTAAATTCAATAATTATCTCAAAGCAGGAAGCTGACTTTCATGTACACTCTGATTTGTTCAATATGAGCAATAATAATTTCTCCTGATTTCATAGTTCTTAATATAGTTCTCAGGGATAGAGTCGCTAATATCTCTTACTCATGATCATGTTATTTACACCTTTATCTTATGTTGGTGTTTGCGTTGTTAAAGACATCAAAGACCAGCAGTATGATAAAAGACTTATAGTCAGAGATTTCTGATGATAATGTGTATCTGAACACAGCACAGTGTATTCTTTTCTAAGATGAAAATAATATCTTTTTTTCATATTACTAGCCATCTTTAGAGTTGTTTAGAGGACATAGTCTCCATCCTTCCTCAAACACATTGTTAGAAAAGTTAGGGCAGCAAGATGAAGAAGAAGAAGAAGAAGATGAAGAAGAAGAGGAGGAGGAGGAGGAGGAGGAGGAGGAGGAGGAGGAGGAGGAGAAGAAGAAGAAGAAGAAGAAGAAGAAGAAGAAGAAAGAAGAAGAAGAAGAAGAAGAAGAAGAAGAAGAAGAAGAAGAAGAAGAAGAAGAAGAAGAAGAAGAAAGAAAGAAAGAAGAAGAAGCAACAGCAGCAGCTTTTTAAAATAGTGTGAACATTTTCTGAGGACTCTCAGGAGGTTTCTGCCCACTCAAAATTGGAGTCTACTTTCCAAAGTAAACGCAAAGAAGAGGTAATATACTTCATAGAATACAGTTAAGCTTCAAATTTAATTTTTGCTTGCAATGGAAGCCTTTATTTGATGCCAGGAATGCCCCCCTCTTGGGGCTATCCCAGGCTCTTGACACACTCAAGGGTATCGCTGTAGTCTCGCAGGAGAGAACTACAAATCCCAGAATGCTCTTTCCTCCGTATTTTACCACGAGATTTCCGGAGGGCGCTCCTAACCAATCGCTGCATGAAGATCCTGTTTTATCAGTCAATCAGAGGCCGGGTGGCTCTGGGAGGCGGGTGGAGGGAGGCATCCAGCGTTTGAAGTTTGGCGCGGTGGCTGAAGCGGGCTGTGGGCACCGACTGGTTACTGGCGGCGGCTCAGGTCCGGTTTGGGGACGGCGGAGTGGCTCTGGCCCGCCCGGCCAGGTGAGGGGTGTGGGAGCCGAGCTGGCCCTTCGACTCGTCAGCCGCCCTCGGGGAAGTTCGTGTGTCCTCGGCCGGCGCGGCTCCCGGCGGCCGCTCTGGGCAGGCCGCGGGCTGGGCTTTGGTGGCCAGGTTCGGGGGCGGGGGTCACCGAGATCTGGCGGGATGTGGAGTCTTTCCGAGCCTCGGAGGGAGAAGGTGGGCCCTGTGGGTGAGCCGAACCCTCCAGACTCAACCCCGACTCCCTGTCGCTTGCGGTTGCTGTTTGTGTATGGAACCGACTCGTGGGGTGGAAGGGTAGGTGCTCCGGAGACCGAGGAGGTGCGGGGCCCCTGGCGATCCAGGCCCGAGAGACCGGTGACAAGACCGCAGTCACCGTCCGTGGCCCCCGGCCACCGAGCTGGAGTGGCCGGTGCCCTGAGCGACTGACCAGTGGGAAGTCGGCCCAGGGGTCCTGGACTCCTAACTGCAGCTTCATCACAACTTTAGTATCTAGAACGAAAGCTAAATGGCGGGCTATGTTGTGTAAGGGCCAAGCCGTCCAAACAGACTGGTTTGGAACATGGTGTTTATTTGCTTCCCGTAACTTTAAAATACAAACTGTGTTCTTTGTGTTTTGTAGTGGCTTACACCATGGTGGAGGATGAGCTGGCACACTTCGATAAAAGCATAAGCGAATTTGGGAGTAAGTTCCGAAATACTCTGAGTGACACTCCCTCTCAGACGGTGGGGCTGAGAGATGCCTACAAGGACTCCATTAAAGCGCTGTCAGGTAGTGGTAACGGATGACTTGCCCTTTTCCTTTCTGTATTTTCTAATGGTATTTCAGCTTAATTGGAACATTGATTTCAATATCTCTTTCAGAGAAGCTGTCTGTGAAATTAAAAGAAGAAGAAAGAATGGTTGAGATGTTTCTGGAATATCAAAATCGTATGTGAAAAACTACATCACAAAGTTCTTTTTCGGTTTAGCATCTTTACATGAAATCTCTTGTACAAGTAAGGCAGTAGAGTGTTTAAACATTCACACACATACATTTTAAAATACATACATACGTGTGTATGTGTGTGTTCATGTTCCTACCATCCAGTTTGAGATGGAGGAGGTAGGGCATCTCATATTATTCTTTCCTCCTATATACTAATTTGTTTAGTATTGTGTTTTGAATGTTATGTAATTGGTATCATTTTATATGTATTCTGTCGCTTTTTCACTCAACATGTTTATGAAATTTATCTATGCTAATATGTAAAGGGAAGTATTTTTTAATTATTTTTAAATTGGAAATCATAGCCTGCGTATTGAAAGGCTGGGGTTCTTTCAGTACTTAAGAGTTAGGATTAGTTCTTAACAGTCTTTCTCTCTCTCTCTCTCTCTCTCCCTTTCTCTCCCTCTCTTGCTCTCTCCCTCTTTCCATCTCTCTCTCCCTCTCTCCCGGTCTTGGGGTGTGATTGAGCTCTTGGCCTGGGTGCTGTTTCTGAGCTTTTGCTCAAGCCTAGCACTTCACTGCTTGACTCATAGCTCCGCTTCTTTTCCCCCCTCCCTTCTTTTTCTGTGGTTAATTGGAAATAAGAGTCTTAAAGACTTTACTGTTCAGACTAGGCTGATACAGACAATATTTGGGGAGTTGGAAAAGTTGAGGGGATTTATTCCCTCACCACCTTTTGAGTCAACTACTCTGTAGTAGGTACTATTCTTTTTTTTTTGGTCGGTCATGGGGCCTGAACTCTGGGCATGGGCACTGTCCCTGAGCTCTTCAGCTCAAGGCGAGCGCTCTACCACTTGAGCCACAGCGCCACTTCTGGTTTTCTAGTGCTTTATTGGAGATAAAAGTCTCATGGACTTTCCTAGCTGGCTTTGAACCGCAATCCTCAGATCTCAGCCTCCTGAATAGCCAGGATTACAGATGTGAGCCACTGGCGCCAAGCACTATTCGTTTTTTATTTGTCCTGGTCCTGGGTCTTAAATTCAAGGCTTGGGCACTGTCCCTACATTTTTGTGCTCAAGGGTAGTGGTATACCACTTGGGTCACCTTTCACTTTTTGGAAGTTTATTAAAGATAAGAATCTCATGGACTTTCTTGCCTGGGCTGGGTTTGAATTGTCATCCTCAGATCTCAGACTCCTGAGTAGCTAGGATTATAAGCATGCGCCAGCAGTACCCACTGCTAGTTACTGTTCTAAAAAGATACATCAGAAAACACAATAGCCAAATGTTCTGGCCCTCCTGGTCCATCTGTTCTATCTGGTTATTATCTGCAGGAAGACTGTCGGTTAAAACTAAGAGTAGGGTATGAGTGGGGTCTTAAAATACCTAAATGCTTACACCGTATAGAACAGAAATTATCACTAACTTTAAATAGATTTACGTGCATGTCCAACAAAGTACCTATCATGATAGTTTTATTCTCTAGTCACATATGAAGCATTTCACCTGAATGTTAATTTATTTAACCTTTTTTTTTGTTTTTTTAAATAATTCTGCTCAATCTTTAATTAAGTAGCAGGAAATCCCCACTTATCTTTGATTTATTTTTGATTTGGAGAATAGCTTTTTCCATGTAGTTACTTCTATACTCATAAATACTGCTTTTCAAGTTTTATTTTGTATATAAATATTTAATACATATAGAATTTATTTTGGATTCTAGCACTATTTAGGGAATAATTTACTCATAGATTACTGGTTTTTATATTTTCTTTCTCCTAACTTCCTGAATATACAACTGACTGGGATGTGTATTTCTGTTTCACTGAGCTGTACATCAGTTCTTCACCTAGTACTCCACTGTTGGATTAAAGTGTCTTCATATCAAGTGCCACTTCTGACAGACAAGTCTCTTGACTTGTTATTCTTTCCCCTTATGTCTTCTTAACAACATGTGGTGATAGGATTAGTAATTACCTTTGATAGACCTTTTTTGCTCTCCCTCTATTTCCATTGGGAATTCATTAGATGTAGAGGAGAATCTGGAAAATACTGGCTTTTTTATGGCATTTAGAAACATAAAATGTCACTCTGGATATCAAATATGTCAAATATGTGTTTCCACTGTGTTCTACTTTTTTTCCATATAGCACCTACCTATTTCCTGGTCTAGATCATTCTTTTTTTGTTTGTTATTGCTGAAAATGAGACATCCCTATTTCCTAAGGGAGGCCAGCCTTTTTTTGGGGGGGGAGGGGGTCCGATCGTGGAACCTGAACTCTGGGCCTGGGCACTGTCCCTCAGCTCTTCAGCTCAAGGCTAGCACTCTACCATTTGAGCCACAATGCCACTTCCAGCTTTTTTTCTTTTTGCTTATGTGGTGCTGAGGAATCAAACCCAGGGCCTCAGGCATGCAAGGCAAGCGCTCTACCACTGAGCCACCTTCCCAGCCCCAGGGAGGCCAGTCTTATGAGATGCACTTCAAGCAAAGAATCCTGGGTTCAGTTCTGGTTGGAAAACAGGTCATGGCATCATTTCCCTTTTAAGGATTTGTGGTATTTAAAGTTCTCAGAAATTTTATGATGGGCTCACTCATTTTCACTTTTGGAGAACACTTGTAATTAAATATTGGAACTAAATGGCAATGTAGTTATTTCAGTTTGTTTAACATAGAGCAGGTTTGCTGTTATTAACGATGTGTTTTATGTTAACGTTCAAATTTCACTTAAATGTTAGTTTAACTAAATATTTAAAAATTTATGCAGTTTGTTGTGGTAGTGCTTACCTGTAGTCTCAGCTACTCTGGAGACAGAGGTAATAGGATGACTTGGAACCATGAGGTTGAGACCAGATGGGACAACATAGGGAGACACTGTCTAATTACAACAATAAAATAATAAGCACATCATAAAGCTCAACTGGCTTTGTTGCTCTCGCTTCTGAGAGTTCTTAGACTTTTGGGTAGTCGTGTGTTTTCCGGTTGACAGAGGTCAGAGTGGCCTTGCCAGTGTTATTTCCTTTTTCCAGGTTTAGCACAGGCTTTGTTGTTAGTTGCATTTTGAGGATGTGTATGAGGGGTGGGGTGGCTGTAGAAGCTGTGTTTAGAGGACTAGGAGAACAGAGTAAGTTTTTTTCTTTCCTTTTGCTGTTTATGATTTTGAAGTCATTAGAAAATACTTGTCAGTCAAAACATTCTTTATACCCAGGAAGCGGAGGCAGGAGGAGCCTGAGTTTGAAGCCATCTTAGGCTCTACGAGAACCTATCTCAAAACCCAAAACTCATTCCTTATTAGTTGTATAAAACAATGCATTTTGTGTTTTGTTCCATGTTTGAGGCCGAAGTGTGTGTATTAATGTTCTGTCCTTGTGCTCCACGCAGAGATCTGCAGGCAGAATAAGATCATTCAGGAAAAAAAAGAGCATCTCTTAAAGTTGGTTGCTGAAGTAAAAGGCAAAAAACAGGAGCTGGAAGTACTGACAACAAACATCCAGGATCTTAAGAAAGAATATTCTAGGAAAAAAGAAGGTAATTTCAGTAAGGCACGTATTTCAAGCGTGAATCCTGATTTCATAGCGGGGATGGCTCCCAGTCCTATATGTTAAAGATGGATAACACACCTTAGGGTGCTACATATGTAGCACTCATGTCTGGAGGGTGGTAGCCAAGTGGGCTTTGTTCTCCTTTGTTTTCCTTAGAGGGCTTCCTCCTTTCAGTTGTAACCACAGTAATACTGGCATTGCTATGAGGGTTAATTAAGTAGAGTGGGAGACTATGTCACCTAATAAGATTTGCCTCTGAAAAGTTTGTGATTTCTACAACAATGTTTATTAATTATAAGTCTATCTAGGTAATAGGAGCGCTCAGGTTGCAAAGCCTCTTTTTCTGAAGGTACATTCATATCCAAATGAATGTGTTATTTACAAAGGAGACTTACTTGTGCACAATAATCAACTCTTCAAACCTTTTGAAAATAGCAGTTTGTTTTATTAACGCTTTTCCTTATAGACTTCTTACCCACAATTAAATTGTGAACTTGTTTTTATCAGCCATCAACTATTACTCTGGAATCATTTTTAATGTTTTAAATTTTATTATTCTTACTTAAAATGCTAACAACAGAGGGTTGCAGTTACATTAGTCAGGCAAAAAGTAATTTCCTTTTGGACAATGTCACACCTTCCATCGCTCTCTCCAAGTTTTTCCCTCCCATCCCAACCACAAGTTGTATAGTTCATTTTCTCTGTAGTGTACCATGATTGCATTTGTTTACCCTTTGTCCCTCCATTTCTGTATCTCCCCTTCTACTCCCAAAGACATAAGACATGACCAAAAAAAAATACTTTCATATTCTTGTGGTCACTTGAAGAAAAACGCTTAACTAACATGAAATGTTTACCTCATGAAGAAGTAGTTATGTCTAAAGAAGTAGGATGTTTTTCTCATAAAGCAGTTATTAATCTTTATCCAGAAAAAAAGCAATATAATGTAAAGGAAGCCCATTTCTATGCTAGCTATATACCTCTGTGGCCTGATTATCTGTGTCTTAAGCATTTATCCATTCATCTGGAATGAAGTTACCTCTTTTGCTAGTTGGTAGAAATAGAAACTGAATAAATGTAAATAGATTCAAAGTTTTCAATGTATACTTTTTAAAAATAGTCTTCATTTCTTAATAATAATTCCATGAGAATGAATTGAGAGATACTTAAAATACCTACTACAGTGTGTTTGTTTTTTAATCATAGCTATAGCCACTGCTAACAAAGCTAATGAAGAGCGGTTAAAAAGGCTGCAGACATCAGCAGATGTGTATAAAGATCGACTTGGACTAGAAATTAGAAAAATCTATGGTAAGTTTAATGTTGTAAGTAATATTTAGGAGATTAGAAAATGTATATATATATATATATTTACAAAATACAAACCAATTTTATTAAATATGGTTATCAAAATATAAAATTACAGGGGCTGGGAAGGTGGCTCAGTGATAGAGCCCTTGCCTTGCATGCTTGAGGCCCTGGGTTCGATTCCTCAGCACCACATAAGCAAAAACAAAAAAGCTGGAAGTGGCGCTGTGGCTCAAGTGGTAGAGTTCTAGCCTTGAGCTGAAGAACTGAGGGACAGCGCCCAGGCTTAGAGTCCAGGCCCCATGACCAGACCCCCCAAAAAAATTACAGTAACATATTTGCTTCTCTAATAACACTAAATAGCAAAAGCTACAAATGTCTAATACCTAAAATGCAAAAATAGAAATATGTGTTAAAAATGATGGAACATGAAAAGATTCAGGATTTCTATTCATGACAAAAAGCATAGATGATGTTTATTTTTTCTTAATTAAATAAAACATTAAATTCCACAAAGAGGTTAATAAAATAAATATATCATTTCCCTCATCCAGTTCTATAGATACCCCAATGTTTATCCATAAACTCTCCAAACCTCAAATGTTTAAACTCTATACTAAGGATTTTAAATAGCAGCTAATTCTAAAGTTTAAAGAAGATACTCTTTATTTGCTGAATAAGTTCTGATGTGTTCGATTTTTTAATTCAGAGCCACTGTTTTTCTCTCTATAATAACTTTGTAACAGTGATGAACAGAGCTATCAGAAAATGTTTGTTTTTATGTAGGGAAGAATTTTTTAAATGTTTTGAATTAAAATAATAACTATACTATTATCTTTTTAGAAAATAGGAGAAAAATTAGTTTTTTAAATCATCCCTAAATGACTTTTGGTGCTTTAATTATTTATCTGCTTTTTTTTTTGTCAATCGTGGGGTTTGGACTCTGGGCCTGGGTGCTGTCTCTCAGTTCTTCAGCTCAAGGCGAGTGCTCTACCATTTGAGCTACAGTGCCATTCCAGTTTTCTGGTAGTTAATTGGAGATAAGAGTCTCATGGGCTGTCTTTGAACCAGATCGTCAGATCTCAGCCTCTTGAGTATTCTTTCAGTTTTAGAAATAAATAGATCCCTCATTTTCTTTTCTTCGTTCTTTTTCCGTTTTATTTTGCCATACTGGGACTTGAATTCTGAGCCTCATGCTTGCTAGACATTCTTCAACTTAAAATTCATGCTTACTTATTTTTGAGTTAGGTGGTTTTTAGTCTAACTAGGATATCTTGCTTTTTTGCCTGAAGCCAGTCTCTTAACTTTCATACTCCTACCAATATAACCAGTGTAACTGAGATGATAGGCCTATTAACACCATAATCAGCTTGTTTGTTGAGATAAGGCCTCACTAACATTTTGCCCTGGCTAGCCTTGAAACCTTTTTTACCTTCCTATTAGCTGGGATAACAGGTGTGAGCTACTGCCATCTCAAGGGATCACTAGGTTAAAACATATGGATACTCCTATTGCTGTTACTTATATATGTGCTAATTTACAATAATGTTTGCTGTTTTTGAGTTCCACAAGCTCATTGTCAGCCGTGGTGATTAACTCAGAGGACTCAGAATATATTGTTCTGCTTGCCTGTATGGGTATGTTCTAGTCTTCAGTGGACTTCTGAGACTGCTGATAGTAATAAATGCTACGTGAACTGTGTATTATTTTAATTAGGAAGTACTTCATGGCTTCTCTTTGCCATATCCAAATTATTAGTATCACTAGCACTTTTGGACCATTGAGTAAACAAGGGTAACTTGAATACAAGCCCTTCAATATGTTAACAATCTGTTTACTAAGATGTGTCGCTATACTGAACAAAGGGATGATTGACATCCTGGACAGACAGTGGGAGGGACAAAGGAATGATTGACATTCTGGGCTAACAGAGTAGGTGGGCATGAGATTGTATTACATAGTTTAGGCAGTTCACAATTTCAAATATATCAGTTTATTTCTGGAATTTTCCATTTGATATTTTTAGACCTTGATTTATAAGTAATTAAAAATCAGAGAGAAATGAAAGTGACTGCAGTCCTACTCCAGGCTAAGATTTATTACAACAAAAGTCTACAAAATATTGTTAGCAAAGAAGGCACATTATAAAGTATAGAGGGAATTAGGCGTAAGTATTTGAGAGTACTAAACAGAATCCGACAGGATGGACTTTATTATTTGAAGCATTGAATTGTGACAACACATGTGAATGAAGAAAGCTTGTTTACTGAAAGCTTATTAGAAAAATCTAATAGCTTATACCTGGTTTCCTTGGTCTTTATACATCTTTTATTTTTGCAGGCTTTGTTGAATCCTTCTCAAGTTGATCTTGGGGACCAACCCATGGCCATCCTGGGAAGCAGGGCTTCCTAAGGGTCTTAAGAATAACAATCTCAAGCCTGTTTTGTAAACTTTTACATATAGTTGTCTATCTATATGGTCTGAAAGAACCCATTTCATTGTGTTCTTGAGACTGAGAGGTCTCTGAAATAAAAGAATCCATGATCCTAGCTATTCAGGAGGGTAACATCTAAGGATTGGGGTTCAAAGTCCAGGCAGAAAAATTGAGTGAGACTTTTATCCCCAACTAACCAATAAAAAGCCAAAAGTGGAGCTATGACCCAAGTGGTAGAGTGTCAGCCCTGAACAAAAAAGCTAAGAAACAGTGCTCAGGTCCGGTGCTCACGCTCTAGAACCAACACATGCACACAAACTCAAACTTTTATAGATGTTAGCTAGAAAGAAGGAACCTTATTGGGATAAGATCTCACAGATATCTGCGGCAGATCTAGGTAGCATTTGGCAAAATGTCCACCAGGCTAGCTCAAAGAACCTTTCCCCCCCATGACAATTTGGGAAGAGAAGGCATAAAATGCTTACATTGGGCATTCCCTGGCTGTAGATAAGAAAGGTAGGGTTCTGTGAAGATGGGCAGTATTGGAATAGGAAGGAAGTTCATCGGGATAGGAAGAAGCCTTTGTTGCTTTAGATTAACTGGGGTTGTAAGGATTAGGACCTACAGGCCTGTATGGATTTGAATTAAGGATCTAACATATATTCAAGAGTCCCAAAGTGTCTTATGTAAGAACAAACCTTAAACCCCCATTTCTCCTACTGTCTTCCAACTGTCAGAATTTTTCTCTTATCACCAGAACTGTACATTAAATTTTTAAAAAAGCATTTCTCTGATGCATTTCCTTTCTTAAAGGGTGACAATTTTTTCCTATTTCTTTACTAATTATATATTTTTGCTGTTTGATTTTTTTTTTAACTGACATTTCTTAGTCTTGGAGTTTTTCCTATCAGTTGGGCTGATTTTTTAAAGCTAATTAGATACAATTTTTAATAAAAATTATTAATCTTTTGAGTAAATAAGAATATGAGTCAACTCTGACCTTTAGATGTGTAGTATGCTTAAGTAGATCTTTGCCATCATCTTGCATTTTCTTTGTTGTTGTTGCTGTTGTTTGTTTAGTTTAGTTTTTAAATAGCCAGATTTAAGACTTTAAAGTTATTTTTACATTTCAAATAGAATTTGTTCATAGCCCTTGAAGTCAGGAAATAATGTTTTAAGGAAGTACGATGTTATGAAAGCTTTTTGGTGTCTTTCCCAGTTTCCTAATGTACAACTCCTAAAATCTTTGAGATATCTAAAATGATGAATGTCATTTTGTGTTCAAATGAGTTGACCTATGGCCAGCTTCTACATGGGTGACTTCGGATGGTGGGAGATTGTCACCTGAAGACCACCCTCCAACTTCTGGAGAAAGGTGGGGAGGAGAGCTGCATAGCTCATCACCAAATGGCCAGGACTTAATCAGTCGTATGTACAGAATAAAGATTATTATAATAAAAGCGGTAAGAGACTGGGATCTAGGAGCTTCTAGACAACTGAACACTGAGGTTTCTGGGGTGAGACAGGGCCAGAGAAGGGATGGAAGGTCCAAATTCTGCCTCCTATACTTTGTCTTTCACATTTCTCTATGTATATACTTTGCAACATCCTTTAAAATAAACAAGTAAAGTGTTTCCCTCAGTTCTGTGAACTGCTCAAGCAAACCAGTTCAGCCCAAGGAAAGAATGGTGGTGGGTGGTTCTCAGGTGGAAAGTGTCCACACTGAATTGAATTAGAGACAACCAACTGGTTCACAGCAGAACTGATGCAGGAACTATTGACTCACCCAGGTATTCTCTACCGATTGTTGAGTGACAGAATAGGATAAGCACTTGGGCACCTTTTTTCCCCCATATGTTTAACCCTAAAATCTTGTTTTCCTTTCTGTTACTATGAACAGTTTTAACAATCTGGTGTATTGACGTAACAACTTCATTCTGAAGTTGAATGGGAGATAGTTTTGTTTTTGTTTTATCAAAGTAAGATTCATTTTTGAAATAAAAAGGTTTATAATGAGTTCTCCTAAGTTTTTACATGACAGAAAAAAAAAAACCTAAAATGCTTGTGAATTTCTACTGGGTATTTACTCCTTTTAGGAGCATTTGAAGTACTTTTGAAAAGTAGACTTAAGTCCAGGTTGCAAGGTTAATTTTCATTGTGGTAAAATATGTTATATAAAATTTGCCACTTTTAAGTGTGTAAATTCAGTGATGTAATTAACATTTGCAATGCTGTACAACCATTACTGACCATGATTAATTTTTAGAATTTTTCTTCACTTCCAGTTCTATGAAATAAAACGCCCTATTCTCCCCCCCCTTTTAATAGCCGATCTGCTTTCTGTTTCAAGGAGTTTATCTTTTTTATGTAAATGGATCATATACATTTTTTCCTTTTGTATCCTGCTGATCTCATTTAGCATTACATTTTCAAGGATTGTTCATATTATAATACATATGAGAACATCTTTTTTTGTGAATGAACAATGCTCTGCTGAATGTATATGTTCCATTGGTTTAGTGATTTACCTTTTGTGGGACACTGGATTATTTTCATTATTTGGTTATTATATATAACATATTAAACATTAGAGTACACCTATCTCTTTGAATCCCTCATGTTCAATTTTGGAGGTTCTAAAACATATATCTTCTATGTATTTAGACTTCACTGGATTTTTGTGATTATAATTGTCTTATTTTATTATTTATCTTTTCCTTTGAAGAAGTTTTTAATTTCAGTAATATCCAGTTTCTTCTTTTCTTTTGCTGTTTATGATATTGATATCATATAGATATGTGTGTATATATATATTTATTGGTTGTGGGGCTTGAATTCTGGGCCTGGGAGCTGTCCCTCAGCTTTTCAGCTCAAGGCTAGCATTCTACCACTTGAGCCACAACGCCACTTCTGATTTTCTGGTTGTTTATTGGAGATAAGAGTCTCATAGATTTTCCTGCCCAGGCTGGCTTCGGACCTTGATCCTCAGATCCCAGCCTCCTGAGTAGCTAGGATTATAGGCTGAGCCACTGGTGCTCAGCTTAAAATCATATTTAAATTAAAATCAACTTAGAATGTCTACAGATACTGGTTAAGTGGATACATATACTCAGCAATACAGTATTGATCATAGATATGGAAAGCAAGCTTATCTCCATTGAAAATTTTGGCATGCTAAAATATTCTCGTGCTAAATTATTAATTTCTTTTCAGGTGGCAAATTGCAGTTTATATTCACTGGTATTGACCCCAAGCATCCTGAGACTCCATTTATGTTTTCCTTACATCTGAATGAAGCAAGAGACTATGAAGGTGTGTTCTCAGCGCTCTTAATTTGTGTTTGAGATTAGTATCCCCAAGTGGTTTTTGGATTAGGTAATTAAGTGTATGAAGTAATGTAATATTCCCACAGTCCTTTTGTTTCTTTTTCCAGTCTTTCTGGAAAGGGAAGGATGTGAGGATAGTTCTGATTTATAGAAACTATATACTGTGTAGGAGCCTAGTAACTTCTCTTCAAGATGGTCTAATGCCACAGTGATTGAAAGTCTACAAGACCAAACATTACTGCAGTCATACACAAATATGAAGTTCCTTTTAGACAACTTAAGTAGATGACTTTAAAATCAAATGTAATGTAGACTAGTTACTATTCTTTAGCAAACTAAAGGCCTTTGATACCTGGGAATATATAATTAATACTAGTGTGAATAGTAAGAGAGTAGAAATATATTTAACCATGTGCCCTTTGCTATTCGTTCTCTGCTGTGGTCATAGTCCTTAGTCCTCAGCGTTATCTATCAGAGCTGGAAATCTGTTATGATGAAGACTACAGAAATCTAGTCTTCCATTTCCTTTGACCACCCCCTGAAGGTTTGCCCTCAGCCATTACACTCTATATGAGGACTATTGTTTGTGACTTTTGAGTCTCATTTGATCAATAGACTTCATAAATATCACTCTTGAAAACCACATTTCCAATAACTTCCATTTCACTTGTGCAAACTAGCTGTTTCTTCCTTATTTGTTAGATATTATGAATTGGTATTGAAATTAGTACTCATCTTGATCCAGTGATGAGATACGAGAAGTCCATCAGTTGAAAGTTTAGAAACTGCTCAAGCAGTTAAAAGATAAAATGTGTGGTGTGGATATAAGATAAAGGAAAATGGCATACTGCATCACTGAGCCCCGCAGTCTCTCCAGTACCAACTGTTTAAATTTAAAGCCGGATTGTAGTGTTTAAGATTTGAATATTTAGAGATTAAACTAAGAAAAGGTCCAAAAGATAGCATCAAGTGTATCATTTTATGCTCAAAGCATTTTAGAAAATGTAATTGACATTCAGATCAGATGAGCAAATGTCTATTAGAAATGCTTCTCTCCCATGGAAAAAACCCCTCATTTATATTATCTTCATTTTTTTTCTTCTAGTGTCAGATAGTGCTCCTCATCTTGAATGCCTTGCAGAATTGCAAGAGAATGTGAGGAAGACCAACAATTTTTCAGCTTTTCTTGCCAATGTTCGGAAAGCTTTCACTGCTATGGTTTATAATTAATGTCTAAATATTATATAAAGATGATTGTTTCTCTTCTCTGTCATGTATGTCTTTGTAAAAGAGTTCTCATGTATTGTCTACTTATATATAATTCATTGCTGTTTTTGTGATTTTTTTCTATGTGCTATATAGGAAACTGAACCACCTAACCCCAAAATGTGTTTCTTTGATGTAAGTATTTGAACTGAAGAAGCAAAGTGAAAAAAGCTCTCTGCCCTCCCCCTAGTTGCATAAAAGCAAGTCATAACATAGTAAAAGTATCACTGCTTCCCATGTCCACAAGGCAGAACAGAAGGTCACCACTGAAGAGAATCTTTCCCTTGTGTTCCACTACTTCCCACCTCTGAAAGCCTAAACTACTTTCTTCCGTAAAAAACTTTTCCTTGTTGATGACCCCATGTAAGCCAGAGCTATAAGCAACTTCTTGGAGTTACCTGCCATTGAGGATTCTCCCATGTGATGTATTCTGCATGCATTAATAAAGCTACTTGTTTTTAATCTTCGTTTCCCTGTCTTGTTACATGCATCTTCCAAGTTTCAATTTCTGAGGGTTGACTTAAGTCTTTCCTTCTACTTGTATATCTTTAAGTTATTTTAATGTCTAAAGAGGAGGTTGACAAAGTAAATGTGCCCTTTTAAAAATGAAGTGTAGTTAATATACTCCATATTTGTTTTTTTGCTTAAGTATCAGGCATGAAGTAGTTTATGTATGACGAGCACTGGGAATGAGAATTTATACAGCCTACTCTGTATCTTTGCCGTCTTCACAGTTTTGGAGGACCCTGGACTCTTACTTATTAAAAGATGAAGAGTGGGCTCAACTTTGTGTTGACAACTTTTAAAAAATACTTCACAAAATAAATACTACTGTTTTCTATCCCAATGTCATGAGAAAAGGATATTGTTACCTTGTGCCAAGAAGAATCTACAGTTAGAATAAAAGATAATTCACTAAAGAAGAAAGTTGACTGCAACCTAATAAGGCATCCAGAGAATGATTTATTTCTGAAAGTACAAATGTAAAAATTTATCATCAATTTTCATATGGTAATATTTATGCCATTTAATTCTGGTTTGGACATAAGCCATCTTGAGAGTCTGTTTAACAGATGAGAGTTGTAGAATTCCATTTTCATCATTCTTGTAAATTTGATTGTATTTAGACCTACTGGCTATGTCAGAAGCTACATAATACTGTTTCAAGATAACTTGGCAACAATTAGAAATTGTTAGTGTCTTGTCTTAATGAAGTTTTGTTGTGGTCCAGCTAGTACAGAAGAGGTTGCTATTCAGTTTTGAGGTATCACTCAGGGCTTGGATCAAATAATAAGAATTTCTTTGAGAAGAAGGTGATACACTGGTGGGAAAAATCACTGACCCATAGTTGTGTGCAGAGCAGCTTTAGCTACTACCCATTGGAATAACTTAGACCCTCTTATTCACATGGTGCTATGTTCTAAGATCCCAATAGACAATGGGAGCCACAGATAGTTCCAAAATCTGTACTATATTGTTGAAAAGGGCACATTAAGCAACAATAACTAAAAGCAAAATGACTGTAATAAAGAAATAGGGTTGAGGGAAGACCATTGCAAGGATGAGAAAAGACCTCATAAGGTCATTTCCCCGTAGCAACAATCATGCATCACTTCTAAATGGGGGTAATGTTGGCTAAGACCTGGGGACATTAGTAAGAAAGTCACAAAAGGACATTGCAGGAAGTAGCTTAGCTGCTGCTATCCAAAGTTGAATGTACAAAGTGCACTGTCATGCCAGAGACTTAGGCTATGAAGTTTATATTGATTCACTTTCTCAACAGGGAAGTTGACTTCATTCCAAAGTTGAAGGTTATCGGCAATCTAGCCTGGTTAGGGCTAGCCATCATATATATATATATATATATATATATATATATATATATATATACATTTCTGGCAATGCCTATGAGCCTGGTATTTTTCTAAACACTTTACATATATATTTGCTTCTTTGTATGTTCACAAGTTGTGCAATAGATAGTATCAATAGCCTTGTTCTTCAGTTAAAAACTTAGAAGTGCAAAGTTTAACTCAAGTCACACAGCTGGTAATCATAGCTAGTATTAGAATTAGATTTGAACTCAACACTTGAATCCATCAGCTTGCTGCACCTTAATGCCTTCCTATACAGTATTGTAGGGAAGAAATGCAAGGATAGTTCTTAAGTTTTGTTTGTTTTTTTTGGTCCGGTCGTGGGGCCTGAACTCTGGGCCTGGGCGCTGTCCTTCAGCTCTTCAGCTCAAGGCTAGCGCTCTACCACTTGAGCCACAGCGCCACTTCCAGCTTTTTTCTTTTTGCTTATGTGGTGCTGAGGAATCGAACCCAGGGCCTTACGCATGCAAGGCAAGCAAGCTACCACTGAGCCACCTTCCCAGCCCCAGTTCTTAAGTTTTTAAACAAATTTGAATTTACGATTAAGTTGAAGGAGTGGCTCAAGTAGTAGAGCATTTACCTAATAAGCACAAGTCCTTCAGTTCAAACTTCAGTGCTGGGGGAAAACAAAACAAAACAAAAAACACCAACAAGGTAGATTCCTTTGAAAGTTGGGAACTATCCTTTGTCTTTATGCTTAGGAAATAGCCTCATTAAAATGACAAAGCAGTTTCAAGTCTCACAGAAAATAGTGAGCAGCAGAGTGGCTTTAAGTCTGGTGCTCACTGAGCAGTCTCCTGGGGAATCAACTGAACTCATCCACTCAGGTCTTTATGAGAGTGGAAGATGGAAATGAGGCAGGATGGGACATGGAACTTGAGAAGAAACCTGCAAATTGCAAATATACACCTTATTAATGTATAACCAAACTTGAAGTGCGCAAAACACCATTTTCTTTAAGCTTCACGCTCCTTCACTGAACAGTACAAGGATGACCTTCCTTCTCCACCTTTGTCCTTGCTTCAGACGATTGTGCTCTAGAGACCACACATACTTTCTAGTTTACTCCCCTTCCTTCCTCTGAAGGGTAGTCATTAAGGTGGAAGTAAGTGTTGCAAGGACACCTAATTAACTACCTTTTCAGATTGAATGTGTCTGGCTGAATTGGTTAAAGTCAGAATACCGTAGTGATAGGAATGGTTGGGATGTCCAAGCTGCTTAGAACAAAGGCACATTTAGCTAAAGGTTTAAATTACATCCATTTCACCTGGAATAAGTTTCACTAACATTAAAATGTCCAATGTCCCTCTTTCATGTGACCACATACCCAGGTCTAGGTGTGTACTTTCCTTTCTTTGCTGTTACAAACTTTACTAATGTCTATCTTGACATATGCTGAGAATATTCTCTGAAAATGTCATAAACTCAGAACTCAGGTTCTCTTCCTTTAGGTATCTCCTTGGCCTCCCTTGGTCCTGGAGATAAGACGATTATTGGCTTATGCATTCTCTCTGCAAAATGTTCTACTATACAGCATCTACATAACTGTCTAAATCTAACTTCCATCATCTCACCCGACTACCTTCCCTGGATTTACCTCATTTCCCAGGACACGTTGCAAAGGACCATGGGGTGTGTGATTTTGATTCTAATGTATTTCTCATGGTCCCAGTCAGGCTGATTGTCCCTCAGAATCATCAAGTCATTTGGGGGAGGGGGAGCAAAGAAGGGAGGTTTCTCTTGGGGAAGGAACAATTAAGCTATGCTTAAAAAACTAATCAATTAAAGGCTTATAATTCTGTACAGTAAAATTTGCCCCAAAATGAATATTATATTGTTCATTGTTGGATCATGAAACATTTTAAGTGATTAAAATGTCTTTTATCATTATGAATATTATTGTGGCTAATTGAAAATGCAAAAATAAAATTAGTAGATGTTTCTGGCAGATAGTCTGATGGATATATCAGCTTCTGCTGTACTAGAAAGGAGATAAAGTAGAATAATATCTATATGTTCGATTAGAACTGGCTTGTGCCTCTGTAGCCTATATTTCAGGCTGTTAATGGTGCTAAAACTTTCTGACATATGAAACTGCTTACTGGGGGGGTATAGTTATAAAGTACTAATTAGTAGTTTAAACTATTCATGCTAGAATTGATTTTATACTATAAAAGATTCAGATATATTATTACTTTTCACCCAATAAGCACTTTATTTTTGCCTCACATCTAAGAAGTACAATTCCAGCTGTCCAAGATGGCATTCATGCTGTCCTAAAAAATACTTCGCAATTCTGTAATACCCAGCTACATTAGTGTTTTATATTTGTTGGTATGGGGAATCAAACCCAGAGCCTTGCTCATGCTATGCATGTGTTCTATCACTGAGTGACAGACACCTCCAGTATTCTTTGAAACTTAGAACTTGCCATAGATAGAAAAGACATTTATGTCAACATTGCAAAGCAAGAAAACCATTTCACAGAGCCCAGCTTGTTTGCTGACTTATGAAGGAGGAAAGGGCTCTTTTTTTGAAAATTACTTCCAAAGAGGGTCCATCCGCCATCATCTCCACTTTCTCCACACAGTCCAGAGCAACTTGCAATTAAATCCTACACTTTTTTTTTTAATCCATAAAGGCTTAATGGAAAGAAGTAAAACGAAAAGGAGATATAAATTCAAAATCTCTATTCATGGTCTAATGGCCTACTTCTTATATGCTGAAAGCATCATTAACACACCATTACAAATGACATTAAAATTGTGGATCTGCTCTTTCAAGCTGTAAGATATGTCTCATAGAACAAATTTGACTTGAGTCTGAGATTTACTATCTCTATATAAATACCTTTTATATTATATGCTATTCAGGAATATAATGACATAGTGCTAGGAAAAATAAACTATCTTAGTTTTGAAACTTTTCTTCTTAAATGTATAAAATTTGCAAATTAAAACAAAAAAGAAGTGAGCTGGGCATGGTGACTTACACTTGTATTCCTAGCTACTCAGAAGCAGAGATGAGGAGAATTCAGGACCCTGTCATAACCAATAAAACCTGGGAGTGGTGGCCTGTGCCATTTTAGCCATGTGTGAAGCATAAATTAGGATTCAAAGTCCAGGCTAGCCCAGATATAGATGTAATACTCATTCCAAACTATTCTTCCCCTGAGAAGGGACGTAGGCCCTCATTTCCACCTTTTTTTTTTCATTTTGATAGTGAATGTTGGTTTATGGGAAATTCCTTTCTAAACTAGAGACTTACAAATATTTAATTTTCCATTCACTAGGAAGCTGCTAGTTAGTCCTTCCATAATAACCTAGTTGGGAAGTGCAAAATTCCTTATTCCCAAATTGCTAAGTTTCTAAATGATCAAGGAAATACGGTGTTTCTCAGGTACCACCTACCACCGAACCCTTTCCTATCTGCATTGCTCTTTCCCTCAGATCCCCAGGCATCTGCTTCATGCTTGATTGACATCAGCTTAAAAGAAGTTGGTAGTGGGCAAGGCTACATAAGAAACTGACTAGAGCTGGGAGCTGGGAGCTCACACCTGTAATCCTAGCTATTCAGGGGGCTGAGATCTGAGGATCTCCGTTCAAAGCTGGCCTGGGCAGGACAATCCTTGAGACTCTTTAATAAGCCACCAGAAAACCGGAAGTGGCGCTGTGGCTCAAGAGGTAGAGCACTAGCCTTGAGCTGAAGAGCTGAGGGACAGAGCCCAGGCCCAGAGTTCCCCACGACCGACAAAAACAAAAACACAAAAACAAAACAAAACTAACTAGACATGGTGCCTCATGCCTGTCAGCCTAGCTACTCAGGAGACAGTGGCTAATGTGGTAGAACACCAGGCCCTGAATTCAGCCTTATAACCTAAAAGTAAAAAAACAAACAAAGAACAACAACAACAACAACAAAACCCCCACTGCCTCAGAAGGCCTCTGGATCAGATGAAGCTCATCTACCATTGTTCTTCTGTCTAGGATCTGGACTTCCTGTTTTTTACTCTCTGATCCTGTGGCCTCTTCACCTTGGCTCCTGATCCTTTTTATTCTCCTAACCTGGGTGAGATAGCTCATCCTTGGAGGCCTGCAGTTGTGTTCTGTTGCTACCCAGAGGAAAAAGGACATCTAAAATTTATTGCTGTTGTGTTGTCAGGTAATTATGTGACTTCAAACAAACATCTGAATCTATCTTGTGCTGGACCAATCTCTCCCCTCTTCCTCCCTCTTCCTTCTGCCTTTCCCCATGCCAGTAGTTAGACTGGACCATTCCTAGGTCTCTTAGCATGTAGAGAACCACCAAGTTTCTCTCTTCCCTCTACTCATCCATCTTGGAATCAAATAACCATGGGCACAAAGTGCTGAGAGGTGTAAGTAAGACTCTACCAAGTATCCAGAAAGAAAACAAAAAGGACTTGCTAGGATAATATTTTATCTTTATTTGCACCATACTATATAGTTTTCAGGGTGCATCATCATGTGCTCAGGCTTGTTTTAAGCCTGTATATCTGTGCCTCCAGGCTTTGAAGATAACTCCTCCACATATGCAGCAGGGAAATGGCCTTTTTTTCCATTTAAAGATCCGTACCACCATCCATCTTCTTTCTTTTCATGTATAGTCACAATGTCTCCTGTAAAAATACACCTTTAATTAGAGAAAAAGGTCTTGGTAACTCTAGCATGTACCAGACTTTAAAGAAAACATAGTAAGAGTTTTAAGGAAATGTTGCATCTAGAGAGTTACTTGTGGCCCTTATTTTATGTAGTTGATTCAGGTAAAGCAAAATTTATGCAGTGCCTCCATGAAACAGGTGTAAGGCAAAGAATACTAAAATGGGTGAGATAATGAACCACTGAGTTGTGCCCTCAAAGAGTTCTCTTAGTAGCAGAATCAAGTTGTGTTCTTCAGCTACCTGGTTACTATTTCTATAATGGATGCATTGTCAGTGTATTGTTTCTTAGTGTCCATACTTGAAAAGTCTCACATGTTGGTAACCATGATAGCTGGGTTTCTTGACTCCTGTGAGTATGTCTCAGCAATCTTTCCATAAGATCAAAACAGCGCCTCTCTATGACACCTGGCTTCCTAATCTGATATTCTCAGTCACAGATTTGCACAGTAACATGACTTCCCATTCATCAATTTAGATAACTTTAACAAAATATCAATTCAAAGACAACGTTTTCTAAAGCAATGGTTCAAATAAACAGCATCCTTCAGACTGCTCTTATCTAAATCTATATTGAATTTTAAAAATATATATCATTGTAATATTAATAGCTTTAAAACTTAACCTGGTATTCTAAATCCTTTTGTTAAACCTCTGTCTTATGAGAGAGTCATTTTCTTCTTCTTTTTTTTTTTCTGGCTGTGTTGTGTTTGGATAAGAAGCAAGGTCCCAAAGGCTCATGTGCTGAGGATTTGGTCCCCAGAATTTGTGGCATTATTGAGAAGTGATTGGATCATGAAGATGCTAGCTTTATTAATAGATTAAGACACTGATAAATTCACAGCTGGCTTGGCTATCTTTCTCTACTTTCTGACTAGCCAGTAGCTTTTCTCCTCATGCCCTTTTTCTCCATAGTGGTCTTTTTGGTTGTTTTTTTTTTTTGCTTGTCACATTTCTAAAAGCAGTGGAGCCAACCATGAACTGACACCTCTGAAACTCCGAGCCAAAATAAATCTCCTTTAAATTCTTTTTCTCCTCAAGTATTTTGTCACAACACCAAAAGGCTGACTAACACAAGCTGCTTCTGTTACATCAAAATTGAAGTCTTCACTTTCTTCAGGATCCAAGATCTACTTTTTCTTTCCAAAGACTTTTCTTTTTTCTTTCCTTTTTCTTTTTTGTCGGTCATGGGGCTTGAACTCAGGGCCTAGGCACTATCCCTTAGCTTTTTTACTCAATGCTAGTGCTCTACCACTTGAGCCACAGCTCTACTTCTGGCTTTTTGATGGTTAATTGGAGATGAGTCTCACTACCTTTCCCTTGTGGGCTGGCACCTAGCTGTGATCCTCAGATCGCAGTCTCCTGAATAGCTAGGATTACAGGCAGAGCCAGCAGTGCCCAGCTATTCTTTTCCACAGGGAATTTTGCTCTAAGGGAAAGATGATGGTTAAAGCTCTTTCCACCTGTTCTTAATCATGCATCACTACGTATTCTTGCAGGGTATCATTCTCAGTCTAAGTTCTCTTCCAATGAGGTTTCTCAGGTGAGTAAATTGTTTGACAAAATCTGTCAACAGGAAATTAAAAAAGGATTTAAAATTGTATTGCCACATTTCCTGTATTCCCAATATGTTTCTCTTAAAGAAACTACTTAGACTAGAAAGCACATAGTAGAATTTGAGACCAATGGAAAACTGGACACAAGCAAGAGTCCTATTATTGTGAACCCTGTCACTCAAACTCAGGACTCCTTGAGTGTAGGCTGCCTCTAGAAAATATGTTTTATAGTTACAGAAAAAGAAAATAAGGGAGAAATTGACCAAGTAGAACTTTCTTTTATATTCTAGTTTATGAGAAGTCACTTCATCTTTCTGTGAATTTAGTGTCTAAATTTGCTGATGACCTCCCACTGCCAGCATTCATTCTGCCCCATTGTAGCTCCGTGACTAAGGACATGACTAAGTTTCTGAGTCTGAATCGTGTGCCACCACTGCCTGTAAGGTTAGCCCAACTTCTTAACTGTCCTGTACTTCAGCTATAAAATGTGAGTAGATGTCAATACCTTCCTAAGAGCATTCCTACGAATATGAATTGAACAATATTCTTGCAGCAATATCTGACACATAGAAACATGGAATAACTTTGCTGTTACCATTAGGTGAGCTATAGTTCTTCATGCACTTTATATTTATATTATTTATATTTTTTGAGAGGTTGGTTCTGAGATTTGAACTCAGGGCATTGTACTTGCTAAGCAGGTACTCTATAGTTGGAGCCATGTCTCCAGCCCTTTATGCTCTGGTTATTTTTGAGATAGGGTCTCACTTTTTCTCCAGGTTTGTCTGGACCATGATCTTCCTTTTATTGCTTCTCATCATAGGTGGAATGACAGGTTTACACCAGCTATTGGTTGAGAAGGGGCCTCACAACTTTTTGCCTGAGCTGGCCTTGAACTGACATCTTCCCAAGCTCTACCTCCTGAATAGCTGGATATACAAGTGAGTCCCTAGCATCCAGTCATCTTTACATTATATTCAAAGAACTGTAAACCTCAACTGGTACTAACTTAAGGCTACCATGCCATGGAGGATTTTATTCACATCAATAATCTCAACATGAAAAGTCAATGAACATGTTTGCAAATGTGTCTTACCTTTTTCCAAATTCAACTCATCATCTTGCCTGGCTTGAAAAGAATATAAGGCCTTGCAAAATCTGTTGCTGGACTGGGCCATACCAGGGGCTAAAAGTCAGACAAAGTTATAATTACCATGCTGTATTAGTATCCAAATCGTAGGGACACAACTAAATTTCTGAGTTTGAATCCTATGCCACCACTGCTTGTAAGATTAGACAAAGTTCTTAACTTTCCTGTACCTATGTGCTTAGCTATAAAATAGGAATAAATGCCAAAATATACTCAGAGGCTCTTTTGGCTATTTAACAATGCAGTTCAGATTTAAATGTGCTGAAATGTTCTCCAAAAGAATGTTTATGGTTTATCTAACATCCCTTGATTCAAAAGCATTTTTATGTACCTATTATGTCTATTCTGTGCATATTATATGACCACAAAACCCATTTTATAGTATTGGAAATAAGTCTGGAGGAAAAAAGTTATCATTATCACAATAAATATGTTAGTTATAACATCATTGGTTGACAGGAATGGAAAACCAGCATTGCTACCACAGTGCCCCGGGTTGTTTTTTTTTTTTTTTTCCCGGGACTGTTTAGTGCCAATTACAAATCAAGAAATTACAGATTACTGGGTGCTGGTGGCTCACACCTATAATCTTAACTACTCAGGAGGCTGAGATCTGAGGATCATGGTCTGAAGCCAGCCAGGGCAGAAAAGTCCATGAGACTCTTATCTCCAATTGTCCAATCAAAAACCAGAAGTGGTACTGTGGCTCAAATTGTTGGAGCAGTAACCTTGAGCAAAAAGAGTTTAGGGACATTGCCCAGGCCCAGAGTTCAAGGCCCAGAAAAAACAAAACAAAACTACAAATCTGAGATTACAGTATGTGGTTAAACAATAAAGAAAATATCAAAGAAAGGTTGGACAAATGGGATTGCATGAAATGGCAGAGCTTCTGCATGGCAAAGGACATAGCTAGCAAGATCAATAGAAAGCCCACAGATTGGGAGAAGATCTGCACTAGCCATACAATGGACAAGGGTCTCATATCTAAAATATACCTGAAACTCAAAAAATTAAATCCCCAAAAAACAAATCCTCAAAGAAACAACTGCCCAATAAATAAGTAGGCTAAAGACTTAAAGAGAAACTTCTCTGAAGAGGAAAAAAGATGCCCAATAGACACATGAAGAAATGCTGAACCTCTCTAGCCATAAAAGAAATGCAAATCAAAACAACATTGAGATACCACCTCACCCCAGTTAGAATGGCAAAAATCAAGAACTCTAATAACAACAGATGCTGGAGGGGATGTGGACAGAAGGGAACCTTACTACATTGTTGGTGGGAGTGTAAACTTGTTCAACCACTTTGGAAAGCAGTATGGAGGTTCCTCAAAAGACTCCACATAGAGCTCCCCTATAACCCCCACTTTTGGTCATTTACCCAAATGATCATAAACAAGACCATACTAAAGCTACCAGCACAACTATGTTTATTTACCATATTTACCATAGCAGCATTATTTACCATAGCTAAGATATGGGACCAACCCAGATGCTCCTCAGTAGATTAATGGATCAAGAAAATGTGATATATATATATATATATAAAATGAATATATATATAATGAATATATATATATAAAATGAATATATATAATGAATATATATATAAATGAATATATATATATATAATAGAATTCTATGCCTCCATCAGAAAGAATGAAATTGCCCCATTTGTTAGGAAATGGAAAGACTTGGCAAAGATTATATTAAGTGAAGTAAGCCAGACCCAAAGAAACATAGGTCCCATGGTTTCCCTTATTTGCAATAACTAGTATATGTCTGAGTCAAGCAAAAAAGGTCAGATAAGTTGATGTTAGGGGAATGAACCCCAAGATTAGTATTCAAATGTTTTGTTTTTCTTTCATGCAATTGTTTCTAACATAGTTATAAGATGATTTCTATGTTGCTTTGTATGTCCCTCCCCCATGGTATAACCCCTACTTTCACTGTATTTGTTGTTGGTATAATTTGTGGAGGGGAAGGGCAAAAACAAATCATTTAACTAGGGATACAGGTGGACCCATTGCAACAATGAGATGTACAAGTTGTTATGTCGCAAAAGGAACTTTACAACTTTGGTGGGGTGCGGGGAGGATCAGGTGGGGGGAAGTGGGGGGAGTATGGGAAGGAATGGTAAGGGGAAACAAAGAGGAGGCAACAATGCTTGATAAGAAATGTACTCGTTATCTTGCCCATGTAATTGTAACTCCTCTGTACAGTATTTTCACAATCAAAAAAATTTTAAAAAGAAAATAATGACGCATGTGTGTGTGTGTGTGTTAAACACAATTTCTCACAACATTCTTTTCCCAGCCATCATTCTTCTTGAATCCCTCCCACTACTTCTTTTATTAGATCTGCAAAAATACAGATTTCAGTCCCAAATGCAATTGAATTTCTTTGAGCAAATATAAATAAATATGGCTCTGAAAATAGTACTAGGTGTACTAATGTGTTTTACCAATAGAAGCAGATCAGAGTTATTCTGGGTGTTAGATTACCTGAAGATGAAGAAGTTGGTTTGCTCTGCCCACCAGAAGATGCTCTGTTCACAGCATTCTCTAATCTCTTTGTCAAAACAGGCCGGGATACTCTTATGTAAGTATGAGTATGATCCTGTTGACACAGTTTTTTTTTAAAGTTCATTTTTGACATAACATCTTTTGTCAATTATAAATTTTCATAAAAACTCATTAGAGGTAATTTCCTCAAGAACTTGTTTTATTAAAACTAATTAATATATTTGTAACTCTTTTGTTTAGATTTTCTTGTTTCTGAAGCTTTCATATTTTTACAATTACACAGTTACTATAATTATAGCCTCTTTCCAGTTTTGACCTGTATGTCTAGGCCAAATAATTGCATTCACTGCATTACTTCTACAAACTTAGCTTTTATAGAATTGAGTGCAAGTAGAATTATGATGACTAGTTACATGATTACAACCATTTTAGAGCTCTTAAAACTCTTTTGAAAGCAGGCTGGCCCTTCGAGATAAGATAGTGACAGCTTCTGCTTCCCAGTAATAATGGAAATCAGCTTTCTTCAATACCTCCCCAGGCAAGGAGCTCATCTTCAGCCTCTGAAAGATCAACACTACAAAAATACTTATAGGTGGTTAACTTTTTGTTGGTTGGTTTTGTGTGTGTGTGTGTGTGTGTGTGTGTGTGTGTGTGTGTGTGTGTGTGCGCTGGTCCTGGGACTTGAACTCTGAGGCTGGGCGCTGTCCCTGAGCTTTTTTTTGGCTCAAGGCTAGCACTCTACCACTTGAGGTACAGCTCTACTTCCAGGTTTTTATGGTTAGTTGGAGAGAGTCTCATGTACTTTCCTGCCCTAGCTTTGCTTCAAACTGTGATCCTCACATCTTAGCCTCCTGAGTATCTAGGATTACAGGTGTGAGTCACAAGCGACCAGCTTGTGTGTAAAGTTTTAAAACTCTTCTCAGACAGTATATACTATGTTAAACCTTGAGCCATAATTAAGCCTTGTGATAATGAGACTAATACAGACCATAAAGCCATCAAATTTATATCTGTGAGAATACTAATTCAATTTAGTAGAAATTTTTCTACAAAAGCATATTCAAAGGCTAAAAATAAGGTATGAGAGAAAGAGAGAGAGCAAGAGAAAGAACAAAGAATGTGTTTGGTTGTATCTAGTTCTTACTGTCCTCAAATGGAACAAAAAGAAATTTGTCTTTGACATTTGCAATAAAGATTTGGGAACGTTGGCATGTATAAGTCATAACAGCTCCATGCCTCCTAGCAAATCCGACCCAGAGATTATATCTGGTCTCTGCAGTTTTACCTTTTCTTTCCACTTGAAGATGGAGGTACTACAAGGATGGCTGGGTTTAGGTCTTTGCTCAAGTTCTGCTAATACTGATGACAGTTTGTAGGAGTTTGCTTGCAGAAGGTCTAGTTTCAGGTTGTTCTGTGGATACATGATTGGGCCATATAAGTAAATTTCTGGAAAATGAAGTACAATAAGAAAGATAAAGGAATACTGAGATCACTTTCAGAGAAGAGGTTTAGGGAAGCAGGCTCACAGATATGCACAAAACTGCTAATGAGAACAAACCTGAAAGAAAAAGGACTCTTAGAAGAGTCTAAAGGAAAACACTTTCCTAAGTAGGATAAAGGAATATTGTTAGATGCATTACTCAGTATTTTGTGACATTGAAATTGGCTATGCAAATTGCACAGCTTTATGCAATTTTCTGCAGAGGAACAAGACAGGAAGTAAGAGTAAAGTCTGCTCCTGGATGGCTAGCAGACTCCACCCTCCTCGCAGCAAAGTCTCCACCCAGTACCTGCGTTACCTAGGCAACTGGGACACCTGGAAGAGGTCACATCTGTATCCGCTGAGGTCACATCTGAATTTGATGTGGCCACACCTTTCTCCACCCATACCCTAGATAAGGCCTAGCCCAGGCCCAGAGGCTCTCTGCTCTTTTCTAGCTCTTCTCTTTTCTAGCCTTTTTCTCTCTTTTCTAGCTCTCTCTTAGCTCTTTTCCCCAGCTCTCTCTTTCTCTCTCTCTTTCCCAGCTCTCTCTTTCCCAGGCCTTTCCCCAATGCGTGGAGGACCAAGATGGCCTGGTGCCAGTCGGAACGATGAATAAACCTACCCCTTACCTGAATACCACGTGCGTGGTGCTGTTCTTACTCGACCACCTCTTTTTAAAAACCTAACAGTAAATGCTAATCAGGAAGATAGTTCTAGTGGCAGTGAGGAAGGGTGATTAAACCATAGGTTAATATTATAATAGAGTGTAATAACATTAGTAGCATCAAACAAACATGGACATGATTTTGTTTATTTTCTTTGAGGAAGAAGGACCTTATAATACCTAGAAAGTTTGTAGAAATATGCACTCAAAATTGGAAATAATATTCTAAGGTATTTCTATTTAAAAATAAGGCGTAATGCCTCATCTCGTTCTGTTCTCTGTTTTGCCCTTGAATTAACGTGTTATAATTACTGAGTTGGGTCAGGAGAAATCAAATACAGAATGTAAACATTCGAAGGGTTCTGCTTATCTATTCTCCCACTCCTCCTCATTCTTTCTCCATACCTCTCATCTCTTTCTTACACTTCAACCTGGGGGCTCCTCACCTCACATCTCTTCTGGGGGTTCCACCATGGGTAGAACATGTCCTTTGATGGGGAAGTTCTCTAACCCTTGTTTAGCACCATCCATTGTGTTGTGAAGTAGATTTACCTAAAGTGAACCCCAAAGCTCCTTGGACTCCTGTTGTTAGTGAGACCCAGGCCAAGCTCCTTTTGAAAGCTCAGAAAATGAATGTACTTCCTCTTATGTGTGGTGCTTTCCAGTCTCTGAAAACAATCAAAATGCCTCCCTCCTGTTTCTAAAACAATTTCTCCTATGACATGCCTTATCAAATATGGCACTTCAAGGACTGGGAGACAATGAAATAGGAAATAACTTTTTTTTTAAAGCAGGGGTCTTCATTAGGGCTTGAATTTAGGAGGTTTATGTTTTCTTTGACAAGCACTCTACCACTTGAGCACAACCTTAACCCTTTTTGTCTTAGTTCATTTTTCAGATAATGTCTTGTACTTTTGCCAAGACTGGCTTCAGATCAAGATCCTCCTACCTTTGCCTCTTGAATAACCAGGACTGTTGACACATGAAACCATGTCTTGTTTTTTGAGATAGGGTGTCACTAACTCTGTTGCATGGCCAACTGTTGAACCATATTCTTTCTATTTCTGTCTCCTAAGTATCTGGGATTACAGATGTATATCACCATAGTTTGACAAAAATAGTAAATAATTTAAATAAAGCAAAATTTCCTCTTCCAACCTTTCCCTGGGTGACAGGAAATGTGTCAAATACCACTAATTTCCATCTACCAAGATGTAGAGCATGTATAAGGAGGTCTCATGGATATTTAGCATTGAAAATTCATGGTTATTTCCTTACTAGATCATGCACACATTAAGTTCAGAAGTCAGATGTTCTTGTTTTTGGTGTGTGAGTCAACCTAGTGTGTGCCCAGATGATCCTAGTATGTGCCTTTTGTTAGTAATGGCAGTGACAGAGTTTTGTATACAAAAAGCCAAAGCAGCCTATAACTAATTCAATTGTATCACAAAATGTTTTGGATGACCATTTGCATTGGATTAATTAACTAAACATTTTGTATCTTCACAGAAAAATATCCTAAGTCTGATTTATGGCTTTTATAAATTGTAGCCTCACGTTATTGGAGTAGTATGTTTAACACCCCTATTCTCAGGAGAACAGATGAGGCCTTTCTCTTCACAAAAAGTATGAAGACCATTTCTGCAACAGCATCTCCAGTAAAGGAATCCTATACCTAAAAAGATGGTGCAATCGGTCTACTTTCATCAAAGCACTTGCAATCACCAGGTTGAGCATAATTATTAAATACTTTCTTTTTATTATTGTCAAGGTGATGTACAGGCTAAGTAAACAAAGATGTCATCCTTTAAAACATTGCTAGAATTTTTTTTTAATCTCTGCCTGAATTCTTCCCAGATTAACCTGAGCCCATTTCTCATCACTTCAATTATAGCAATCAGCTATAGTCCTGCACATACAGGTAATACGTGCCTATTTGTTTTTATTCCTGGTTTTTCTTTAAGTCTGGATCTTTTAAAGCCATTCTTTTCCTGTGGATTCTTTACAAAGAGGTGGCCAAAATGTGTCCCGTTGCTAAAGGTATGGAGCTGTTGGAAGTCTAGACTCTGAGCAAAAAGCCCAGCAAGCAAGCACTGGGCTCTGAGTTCAATCCCCAGTACATGTACATATAGACACAATCACACATACATATGTACACATTATTTGTTACCTAGGCATGGTAGCTCATGCTTTCTCTCCTGGTTATGTGGGCAGCTGAGAGAGGAGGAGCAAGAAGTAAGAGACCTTTTCTAAAAAATAACTAAAGCAAGGACACACGATGACCCATTGCAACAATGATACAAGACACTGTGTTGGAAATGAGCTTTACAACTTCAGAGCAGGGTGTGTGTGGGGGTAGTGGAAGAGGTGGGGGAAGTAAGAGATAGTAGGAGGAAAACAAAGGATGAGGTGACAATGTTCTACAAGAAATGTACTTATTACGTTACTCACGTGACTTTAACCCCTCTGTTTACATCTTTACAATAAAATAAAATTTAAAAAAGCAGAACAATAACTAAAGCAAAAATGAGTGGGGAGCATGACACAAGTGGTAGAGTGCCTGCCTAGCAAGAATTAGGTCTTGAGTTCAAACTCCAGTACTGCCATCAAAAAAATAAAAATAAATCTAGGAATCTCATCCCCTCCTCTCCTCTGACTATGTATGTCCCTAGAGCTCAAAGAAGTTGGCCTCTAAAGTTGCTTCCAACATCCCCCGAGGCTTTTGCTTCACACCAAGTCTGCTCTCTTCCTTCCCTGTTATTCTCCAGGATTCTGACACCAGCTGAATGGCATTTTAATAAAACGTTGAAGATGCCCCTCAACTTGTGATGAGGTTAGTAAGTTCGACATGAAATAAAAAATAGTCTGAGCTAAAAAAAAAAAATCACAAGAATGCACCTAACCTACTAAATGTGCTTCCTTAGCCATGCTGATCTTAAAGAGGCTCAGATCACTCACATTAGCTTACCATTGACTAAAATCATGTGGCACACAGGCAATTTCCTAATGTAAAGCTCATATAATTTACTGGACATGAAAGCAAATGACAGAAGAGTCCTGTGGGTATGCAAGTAGTTGTAAAACTAGCATTTTCTACATAATATTCCTCTTCACAAAAACTCTATGAAGTAAATATCAGTAACCCCATATTACAGAGAGAAAACTAAAGTTGTTTTCAGGTTGCAGATCAAAATCCAAACATAAGATGCTATTCATAAACTGCTGAGTTACATGGAAATTCTTTTGTACGTGAAAGATAATAAAAATTAAAAACAAAATTCTGGCAAAACAGAAAGGACTAATAGTTCTAATAGTAAATACTTGAGACATCAAAGTTAATCTTTTTATAAGTGATAACAGCTAGACAAAAGTTCAGGAAATAAAAGGCTTGATCAAAAGTAGTAAAAAAAAAATCCAAGCACAGGCCATTGTGAATGCCAGCTCTGTGGTTTTTGGTCACTTTTCTTACCTGGGTCAAAGTGTATATGGTTTCATTAACGAATGAATCTATTTTGGAGAATTCTATTTCAGACGCAGTTGGGTTTTTTCCTCCCCTGGTGTTCTCCTTTTACACGACACCAAAGCAAACATTTCTAAGTAGGTGGATTTTTTTTCCTTCCGAATCCTTAAAACTACCTAGGCAAGAGCTGGCCTTATTAGCTTTCTGACTAAATTGTTCTAAGTCATAAGAAAAAGGTAAACAGGTCAAATGGGCTGGAAAGCAAGTTTTCTAAAAATAACCTTTTCATTAGACAGTACATTCTGCAAATATTTACCTCATCCATTAATGCGGCAGTGTCTTTCTGGTTCTTTGAGTCAGAGAAGGAGGAGTTGCTGGAGTGTGTGCAAAGCATTTGTTCCAGGCCTGAAAATGAAACCATGTTCTGGGTTACCATGTTCTGTCCTAGTGAGATAACCTGGGGGGAAGAAAGGGGGCCTGACATCCTCAAGTTGCCTGATCTTCTACCTGGAAGTGATGCCAGCAGGTCTTCCTAAATGCCTGGGAATCTGGATGCACTGTAGTTCTTTTCTCTTTTTTTTTTTTGCTGGTCGTGGGGCCTGAACTCCGGCCTGGGCGCTGTTCCTCAGCTCTTCAGCTCAAGGCTAGCACTCTACCACTTGAGCCACAACACCACTTCTGGCTTTTTCTGCTTATGTTGTGCTGAGGAATCAAACCCAGAGCCTCATGCAGAAAGGCAAGCACTCTACCACTGAGCCACCTTCCCAGCTGTAGTTCTTACTAAACATTTCTGCATGAATAATGAGAAACGAACTCACTATTGTTTGACTTTACCTTTGTTTAATGAAATTTAAGAAATGCTGGTTCTTAAAGTATTCTGATTCTTAATTTTCAAGTTTCTGAATTCCTTTTGATCGGGCCATTCCAATCACTCCTAGCATTTATAGAATGCCAGGTTACTAACAGAATTGCATTGCAATAGGTTGTTGTTCTTGGAAAAGAAACTAGACCTATTAGAATCACAGGTATGCCATTTAAAAAAAATTATCTCTGGCTTTAGAGCTGCTTCATACTTTAAAATCTCAAATATTTAAGTATGGGATTTAATTTAATTTTGTTTGAAAGTAAAAAAGAAATAAGACTCTAGAACTCTATGCTTAGTAGTTTACCATGCTTTAGAAACATAAATTGTCTTTCATTCCATCCAATTATAGAATGGAAAACCCCAATAAAATGCTATCTTAAAAATAGTAGTGTATTATTTATATAGCTCTCATATAAAGACCCAAATATTATTTTACACTCTTTGCTTTCTCTTTTCCTCTTTTAAAATTTCCTTTACCCATACAGCTTAGATTTGATATATGGTTCTTTTTGATTTTTGTTGCAATTGGTGGTAGCTTTGGGTTTTATAATATTGTTTGTACACACTAGATATATACTTGACCATTTAAACTACATCCCCAATCTGAACACGTGGCTCTTTAAATGAGAATACTCTGCCCAACTCAGCAGAAGCAGATGGCCCCCAACTCTGCATAAAACTTCTGGGTACAATACTCGCTTCTATGGGACTATAGAAATGACAATCACATACCTTCCTTCTCTCTGCAGGCTCTTTCAATGTCTCTTTGTAGTCTCAACAATTTTGGCTTTATTAAGGTCTTTCGTCTCTCTTTATCCATTATATTGTTAGGATCTTCTTCCTTTAGGAGGAGAAAAGGATTTTTAACAACTTAAGGAGTAAAAATAAGAATTGCTGGGGCTGGGAAGGTGGCTCAGTGGAAGAGCGCTTGCCTTGCATGCCTGAGGCCCTGGGTTCGATTCCTCAGCATTACATAAGCAAAAAGGAAAAAGCCGGAAGTGGCACTGTGGCTCAAGTGGTAGAGCACTAGCCTTGAGCTGAAGAGCTGAGGGACAGGGCCCAGGCCCAGAGTTCAGACCCCACGACCTGACCCCCCCCAAAAAAAAAAGAATTTTTGTTCTTTCTCTGTGTGTGAAGGCAGGTTCCAAGGCTTGAACTCAGGACCTTGAGCCTCTTGCTCATGACTCTACCCCTTGAACCTTACTTCTAGCCTGGCATTTTGCTGCTAATTGGAGATGAAGTCTCAGACTTTTCAATCTGGGCTCAATTTATTGAGTAGCTAGAAATACAGGTGTGAACTACGTTCTCTAGGCTAGAGTTGCTATTCTTAGTTATTCAGAGATTTTCACTGAGTACATTCAATTTAACTTGTGAAGGAAAAGGTACAAAAAAACCCAATCCCAGGATAATCCTTAGTCTTACATGCATTGCTTTTCCTGTCCTAGATGTCATTAATAAGAAAACATCTTGCTTATAACTTATAAATATTTGACTGAACACTTTTTTCCCCCAGTCCTCAGGCTTGAACTCAGGGACTGGGCATTGTCCCTGAGCTTTTTTGCTCAAGGCTAGTACTCTACCACTTGAACCACAGCGCCACTTCTGGCTTTCTCTGTTTATGTGGTACTGAGGAATCGACCCTAGGGCTTCATGCATGCTATACAAGTACTCTACCACTAAGCCACATTCCCAGCCTTGAAAACTTAAAAAAAAAAACCCAAAAACCCAAAAAACAAATTATTCTTGGAGGAGAAGCATTACTATAGCCATTTTAATTTATTGATTAAATCTATTGCTCCCTAAAATGATTTGTCTATAGTCAAGTTTGAGTTCATAAAGGTCCAAATACAGTGAATGTGTCTTAGCCTAGGACTGCCTCAGGAGTGAAAAATGGTTGAGTTCTGGTTGGCTTGGTATTGAGTGAAAGTCAGCTAGAGTATAAGCTCTGCTCCACGTAGGATTATCTATTGGCTAGGTCTTGAAAGCCTGACATTAATGCAAGGCCATGTACGTTGTTCAAGGGTAGAGGCAGTTGAAAGTGTCAAGGAGGCTGCAGACCTGACCAGCACTTTCAGTTACATGAAAATCACTTTCAGCAGAAGAAAGAGCATGGGCCAGGGACACACAGAGGGCTCTCTATGGAACATATAAGAGACAGTAAGTAGAACAGTTGCTGGAGCAAAAATAGTGGAAGAAAAAGAAATTGCATGTGGAGGTGAAGCAAGATTTTTTAGGGAGAAAGTAGGGATTCTATCACATAGGGTGTGAAAAAGCACTAGTGGTAGCTGAGCTTTCTCATGGATTATTTCACAGGGCTGAATTTTTAAAAAATGAGATGTTGATTTGGGAGGAGTGTGGTTGAACATGACTGGCCAGATACCCATAGAGAAATAGGAGAACTAATGACATGAGACAGAGTGGGGAAGGTAAGCTTCTCTGATAAGAAAGGAGGAAACTTAGAATCATGAATATTGGTTGAGAGATTAGCTTTATCGTAAAGAAAGGGAAGCAAAGAGAATAGCATCAAGAAAATAAAATAAATGGATAAAAATCTTGCTATATATTATTATATATTATTAATGTATTAATTTTATTAACTATTAATGATTAATATTTTATTGTATGATATATCATAGATTATAGATTTTATATATATCACATATTTTAAATATAAATATATGCTATACAAATATATATTAAGGATTATAAAATGTTTCTCTATATTCTTGATTACATGTAGTTCTTAAGAGAACTCTATGATGAGATTTCCTTTCTAAGAAAAGTCAATAGTAGGCCTCTTCTTTGGCTTTCTCAAGTCACTCACAGGCTGCCATACAGTGAGACATGTGGAAATCCCCATGGCAAGGAATTGACATCTCCTTCTCACAGTCAGCAAGGACTACAGGTCTGCCAATGTGAACAGGCAGAATCTCTCCTAGTAGAGACCTGAGACATGTGCATTCCTGGCTGTCACCTTGACTGTGGCCTTGTGAAAGACTCAGAAGCACTTATATAGACAAAGCTTGGTTTCTGTATAGGTCCATATGATTAGGGAGATAACAAATGTTAAGTTTAGAGGTAAATTGTTACCTAGTGCCTTTTACAGGACAGCACAATGTGCTCCATGGTGATTACTTATGTGAAACATATTGCCTGGTATTACTCTTGTAGATCTTCTATGATGTCAATGTTATGTGTTAGAAGTTTCCCAATGTGTTGAGAGGTGGTTACATCACTAGGGCTGTGTCTAGCAAATGGACTAATGTCAATATCACAGAAGTGGATTTGTTATAAATGCAAGTTTGGCCCTTTTGTTTCTTGTCCATGTAATACCTTCTGTCATATTATTATGCAGTAAGCAGGGCCTCACAAGATTTGATGAGTAAGACTTTGTAGCCTTCAGGATCCTGGATGAAATAAATTTATCTTCTTTATAAATTATTCAGTGTTCTACATTCTGTTAGAGCAGCATGAAGCATCTAAGACAAATACTGAATTGTCTTTGGTAGAGAATACCAAAGACAGGTGTCCACTATCAAGTTTGTCATCCACACACTATGTTTTAAAAATTATATGGACTATGGAAAAATCAAGAATTTCATTTACCAAAGAAGATATTTCTTTTAGAGTTGCTTCCAATGTTAATTTCCACCTACACTAGTTCAATGCTTTTCAAAATGAGTTTCTCAATATTTAGCTATGTCTCTCCATTCAGACCACTCACTTCCTGCCATCCCATACTTACAAAGTAATCAGTCAGTAGGAGCTCAGATTTGTTTTCTGTAGATAAAACCGCAGTTTCTTCCATTAGTGCCTGGATATCCTTCTCGATATCAACCTTGCCGATGGCACAGTGAATCTGTGTGTGGCACTGTAATGTCAAGAAACACAAAAGGAGGTTGAAGAAATATTTCCTGCCCATCTTACCATGCATGCTAGAAATGAAGAAATCTTTACTACTCACTGTGGTCAGGGTTTGGCCAAAAAGAGAAATATGTTGACTGTACTGGTTTAAGTTGTTGCATAAAAGTTGAATTCTTTCCTTCTCCAGCTCCAGGATGCTCTGAGGAGGATGGAAAATGAGGCCAGTGCAACCAATTATTATATAAATCAAATGTAATCATAGCTGAGGAAAACCAAAACAAATTGTCACTATGTTTTTTTTTTAAAGCTGTGCCATATCCAAATGACAGCCAAGGAATGTGATTTGGTGTCTGTCTCATTTAAGATGGATTTAATTGACAGACTTTCCCTGGGATATTTTGGAAAGGAGGGATAAAAATATGTGGGTTACCTAATGTTCTTAGAGAAGGAGAGAGAGAGAAAAAGAAAGCATTTGAGAAACACCCGTGGTTTCTAAAGAAGTAGAGTGAATCCCATTAAAATCCATGTTCATATATCAGAAATATATATCAGAAATATATCTAGTCACTAAAGAGTTTCAGAAACATTTATTGTTTGTACAGAGCATTCTTCTAGTCTGGTGGGCAAATATGAGACACACATCCCTGATGAATGAGACATGAGCAGTATCTCAGTCTGCTCAGTGCATAATCCTGACCTAAAATTAGGCCTGGAGACCAGAGCACGCTGCTTGAAGGTGGAGACATAGTGTCTGTATTTTGTTTGGGATGCCCCAAATTCCAGAACTTGGGCTGAGTGTAGTGGTACATGCCTGCAACCCCATCTACTCAGGAGGCAAATGTAGGTGAAACAGTGTTCAAGTCCAGACCCAAGCAAAACACAAGACTCTGCCTAAAAAATAAGCAAAGTAGAGCTAGTGATGAGGCTCAAGTAGAAGGCTTGCTTACCTAGCAAGCAGGAGGCTCTGAGCTCAAATTTTTGTATCACCAAAAACCCTACAAATGTCAACATCTTGACTTTGAAGACTTTTAGTTAGAAAGGTAATAAAGAAATGGGGAGTTACCCACTTGTTAGCCTTGTAAAGATAACCCTAGTAATCCTGTTAGCTATTAACATTGCAGAACAAGTTAGTTTTAGACTCTTGCCACTGACATGTGTTTTGGACTGGAGAGCAGAGAAGTTTCATAACTAGGATAAAGTGGGATATGCAAAGGATTTTCCTAGCCATGTGTGAGACTGCAGGGTACATGCCCAGAGGACTTGAGGCTTTGATAGAGATGCCAGGTATCTAAGAAAAACTCACCTCATCTTGTTTTCATCAAGGTACGGCTTAGGCATTCATCCTTTCATCCAGAGAAAGGTCAAGTTGGGTTGCTGCCATACCTACATCCAATTTCCTCTGTCCCCACAATGATCTTTCATAAAACAGGTTTGGAACAGTGATGGGTGACACTACCACAGGGAAGAAGGATGGCTGTATCTCCTGACCTGTGGCTAGGAGGTGGGGCTGCAGAGGGCCAAAGAAGTCACTGCATGCTCTCATCCTGCCTATCCTGGCATACCTGCTGGGTCCATGGCTTGATCCATTATGGATTACGATGAATCCACTATGATCTCCTATGTCCTTGTGCTGTTATTTCATCTATTGTATTTTAATGTTAATTTGATTTCACTTGCATTTTAACTATGATAAAATTAACATAAATTGTATCATTTTAATAATGGTTAAACTGTAGTTTAGAATTAGTAAGTACATTTGGATTCTTGGGTAACTATTACCACCCTTAGTCCCAGAACCTTTCTCTATATCCATAAAATAACAATTGCTCATTTCTCTTCCCACCCCATCCCCAAGCCTTGGCAACTACCATTCTGCTTTCTGTCTCTATGAATTTGACCCTTATAGATATTTCAAATAAAAACAACGATCTATGTCTTTTTTGTGCCTGAACTATTTCACTTAGCATATTTTCAAGTTGACTAACTTTATAGCACATGCTAGAATTTTTTTTTGCTTTTAAAGGCTGAACAATATTCCAGTTTAACTATATACCCTATTTTGTTTATTAGTATAAAGTTATCTTAACAGTTCTTTTAAATGGAAGCACTAAAGGGATCAGGAAGTAACTATGAACATCTGTGCTTCCATATGCAAATTTAGGTTTTGTGCCAAACGTCCTGACATTTGGATCAGAAGCCTGGACCTGTGCTTTTGTGGCCACCCTCTTAGATGCAGGCATAATTTCTGTAAGTCAATAATGTAAGCCTGGCAATCTCCTGAGTCTTTCTCCAGAATCACTGGAATCAGCTATTTGAGTGGGTCCAGTTGCCTTTCTTTTCCTCCCAGATAAAGGATTAAACACAAGAAGCACAGCCTGTCAAATGTGTTGCTTCTTCAATGGGCAGAATCAAAATGCTTCGTTACAAATACACAAAACACATTCTGCTCATTTATTTGGATTTTAAGTGGGACAATCCTCACAAAAGAAAAAGATTTATCAGTCAGCTCTAGCTCAGCATGATGAGTAAAAGGCAGGAAGAAAGAAATGCCGGGTTTTTAAAACACAGTGTGTCGCTGTGGCCGCTGTTTCTTTACGTTGAGGAGTGTAGAAGAAGCCACAGCATCAATTGAGATTAGAGTCACTCATGTCCTTTGGCAGAGATGGCAATGTTTAACAGATTTTAATTACATTTCAGGGAAATCATTAAAATGATCTATGTTTGCTAATGAAAAGAGGCAGAAATAAATTTCACTGTGCAAAGGGGAAATCCATATAGTATTTGATGAGTTATATTGGTTTCTATTATCTTGTTCTTTTATATAATGGGCAATAGAGAGACAAGATCTCCAGAAGGACTCAAATTGTGCTCTTGCATTTCTGCAAAGGTGCATGGCCCAGAAAGAATGTTAGAGACTTTATCAAGAATCATGGATTTGGAGCGTGTTTGGGGTCAGGCATTAGCATAATTCATGCTCTTTCTTCATTCTTTTCTGCTTCCTCTACCCTGGCTTTCAACTAGCTAACCAAAGGAGGAACTTAGAAGAGTTTATGTTTTCTTTTAACCTGCTTTCACAAAGCTGATGAAAGAAATATCTTGCTAAAGAAAGGGCCATCACACTTTAGACTGTCTGGATCCTTCTTAAAATCATTGGGAGTTCTGATTTGCCAGAACTAGGGAGGTGCTCAGAAATCTGAATTTCAACAACACTCTGGTGCTTTGGATATTGTCCTAGGGCCACAGAACCCCACAAAGAAATGCATTCTAAAATCATACCTAATCCTTCCACTCAGATGATCAGTATAGACATTCTGCTGTATGTTAGTCTAGGTGAATGTGTATGACTGTACCTTCTAGTTATAAACAGTTTCTCAAGCCGTTATTCCAAGAAAACACTATTTAAGTAGCTTTCTAACAGCCCATCGGGTAGGCAGGTATGAATTTCATGTGTCATCCTTTTCATGTTGGCCACTTGGGTTATGTCTTCCCTGTTACTTTAAATGTATTTTGAACAGAAATCTGTGTTCTGATTTCATTTTCCCCATGATAGATTTGTAGACAAAAATTGCCCTTTTATAATTATCTTTAAGTAGTTGTACAAAGGAGTTTCTATTCAACAAATCAGTTTATAAGTACAATCAACACATCCTGATCAATGTCATCCCTTTCATTGTTCTCCCCCACCTTCCCAACCCAATCCCTTCCCCTAACTTTCTTAATTCTGTAGGACACCCATAGAATTTTATGAGCAGGTTCTCCTCCACCCACTTTCTCTTCATGAATAAAAGAAATTGCCTTTTTAAACAGGAATTCTAAGAGAGAATGAAGTACTGTTGTCCAAACACTTCATATGTATTGCCATGTGCTGTATAATGACATTTTGGCTAATGCAGTGGTTCCATCAGATTCTATGGAACTGAAAAACTATGACCCACTGGTGTCATAGCTACTGTAACATCCTAGCCTAACATGTTGTTTCCTTGTCTGCAATGATGTTGTGTCAAGGAACTTACTGCCTCAGAAGTGCCAAACAAGGACAGCATGGCAATATAATTAGGTACAGTACATAATACTTGATAATTATAATTATATGCTTCTTATACATTTTGGTCATTATTTTAGGTGTATTCCTTACCAAAAAAAGCTAACCACAAGACAGATTACGTGTTAAACTGGCAGCGGCCTCAAAATCTAATGTTTACCTTTTCTCTGGATTGCATTAAGAAGCCACAGAGAGTGATGGCCTTTACCTTCAATTTTGTGTAAGTAAACTCTGTGATTGATCACAACATAGTGAAATTGTCCTCAGGATGCATCCCACTGTTAAGAGGTATAGGACTGTAATGAACTGTATCTACAATGGTACTAGTCAAGTACACTCCTCAGGAGAATTGAGAAAATAATCTCTCAAATCACTTCTGTATTCTCTGGCTCAGTTGAGAAGTATTGGTTACTAAAAAGAACATCTTTTAAGGATATTAATAACTAATTGCAAATGGCTTTCTAAAATAATTTATTGTTGGTATCAAGCACTTGACTTTCAGTAATTATTGACAGTGTGACTGTTACTTTTTGGTATATATATATGTACATATATATATATATATATATATGTTATTTCTACCAACCAATTCTTTTTGGTTTCTTCTTTTATAGAAAGGAAAAGTGTATAATTGTAAAGCAATCAGACTAATTTTGACACAGAGTTTGTACATGGCTTGACACGATTTCTTTACTTAAAAGTTATATTTGTGATTTTGTTATATTTTTCATACTGTCCAGTAACTCTCTTGAATGAAGTTCTATGAGTGTTGTCTTAAAGATTTTGTAAATTTCATCTATGTTGTATAAACAGGTCAGAAGACCTGGGAGGTGAAGCAAGGTTGCAGACAGACTCCAGATGGAAAACTCTTCCCTTTCCTCAACTTTTTCTAAAACTTATTCACCCAAGGCAAGGAAGGGCTGTGTTGGGATCCTATGTTCAAAACTCTAAGTTCAAAAAAACCTGCCTTCTCATTTCTTTCCTTCTTTAACCAAAATTTTTATCTCCCCTTTACTTTCTTCTCCAGCCTTGAATCTATTCTATCCTAAAAGTGGTCGAATCCCAAGTGCTTTTAAATATAGCCCTTCAGGAGATAGGCTTCTTGCCCATGGCTCCCCTTCTTCCAGTTCTTATAAGGGCAGGATCATAGCACAGAGGCCAGCTTAAATGTCAAAAACATCTTGGTCAAGATATTTCACTCTAGCCTCACTTTCTCAAGTGTAAATTAGGCAATAAATTCTTACTTTCCTCACAGTGTTTGATGGTAACAAAATATAATGCATATGAAGGCATTTGGTACAGGGCCTGACTTAGCAAGAACCAAGCACTTGCTGCAAGGTAGACAGTATGCCACTTCCTTTTCCATTTGTAGCTATTTTAAGGATTTTTTTCTTCTACTAGAAATGCATGGAAAAAAATTTAAAAATGCATTCTTACCACCCAGTGTAAACAATCAATCATTTAATGTGGTTACATTTATGTTATCTTAAAAACAGAGATTTAGCTGATTGCTGGTACTTTACACCTGCAATCAATCCTGCCTATCAGGAGATTGAGATCTGAGGATTGTGGTTTGAAGCCAGCGTAGGCAGTGAAAGTCCATGAGACAAGCAAAGTGACTGTAGCAGTTCTAGTGCATAGCGTGAGCTTCATTTCATCCAACCAACTGAGATCCGACTGGATTGACAACAACATACACATATAAACAGTTTAGTTTTGGTGTGTCTAAATTTTTTCAAAAATTTACATAGATCATTACTCCAATTAACTTTTTACTATTACTTTCCAAACTAGAGCACAGTTTTTAAGAGTACTCTCTTAATGGGTATGATGATTGTGATCAATCCCTTTTTTGCTATGTAATTCTATGATAAACACTCTTTTGCATCATTCTTGATGCACAGGTGTAAATGTTTCTTCTGGATAAATGCTTAAAGTGCACTTGCTGTGTTGTGGGCATGTACTTATTTCATTTTCACTGGATGCCACTAAATTAATTCTTGTACCATCCTAGAAAGGTATAAGAATTCTTCTTTTCTAACATCCTTGCCAATACAAGATATTATCACACCATCATTTTGCCAAATGATTGATAGTGTAACTGTGGAAATAAAATTAAGCAAAATGCAATGAAGGCTTAGGTATTACATACTTGGAATTGAGTTTTAGGTATGAGAACATATTCAATAAGTGATCATTTATGAAGTTTCTAAATCATAGGTTGTGTTGAGCACTAAATATAGAGCAATGAATAAAGTAATATTTCAACATTTTAAATGTTCATCTTAGTAGCACAGACACATAAAAACGAAGTATGGCAAATCAGCAAAGAAGAAATAAAAATATTACAAATGAGAAACTCAAAGTCACCATTAAATGTATGAAATACATATGCTTTAATTTGCATTTTATTATAATGGTTTTCTGATGTTTGCTGAGTACTACTGCATCTATTAAGAATTAGGAGCAACAACTCAATGTTAGTCAATAAATTTTCATTGTTAATTGTATCTATGGAGAAATGGAAATGAGAGGAACTATAGTTTGTCTAGAGTGATGATCATGGATGATCATAATACAGAAATCAGGTCATATAACTTGATCGGATGTTCATTTCTACAATTCACACAAAGTTCCATGGGAAAAAAAGCATTGTAAATGCATAGCTTACCTTGTAGGAGTTTTCTAGTGTGGTTTCCCATTTCAATCTAGTAGAATAGCCTGCCATGTTTTGTTGGTAGTAATTTTCATCTTCCTTTTGCAACTTCTCAGTTGATTTTTTCAGTTTGTTCAGGAGCTAAAATAAAACAGCTCTGTCATATACTCATTAACACATTTATGCAAGCCCTTTGTAATTCCACAGAAAGGACTGCACATAGTGTTTATGCTTTTGCTCTTTATATACAGTAACCATAGAGAACAAAACCAAAGATTTTTTTTTCAGAAAAAAAATAGATGGGAGAACCAGAAGGAAACTTTAATTCCTTTCAGTATGAGATCCTCAATTTCACACATGAAGACATTGAAGTAAATAGGAAGTCATTTATTGATATTCATCAAATCAAAGACAAGACCACATGACAGCGCATCTGAGAATCAACAACAAGAGTTAAGGATCTCCAATTTACCAATCCATCCTAAAGCCTTGTTTAAATTGTTTAAACTTGTTAAATTGGTTAAGTTCCTTTATTTCTTACCTGGATACACACAGACTTCTAAATCAAGTAATTTAAATTAATCATATGATTTCCAAAATCATATAACTTTTGGAGCTCATTTCTAGAACAGACCTTCCTGACCAGGTTGACACTGAACATAGAGCTCTGGAATCAGACCTCCAGGATTAGAGGCCTGGTTCTGGCTTCCACAGTTGATGAGCCACAGTTTCTTTAACAGTGATGGAGTCATTGATTGCTCCTATTTCACTGGTTTGCTCTGAGGATACAATCAGAGAACACATGGTGATTACGCTGCACTCCCTGACACCTAGCCCAGCATTCAAACATTAGTGAACACTGGGGCACCAGTGGTTCACTCCTGTAGTCCTAGTTGATACTTGAGATCAAGGTTTGAAACCATCCTGGGCAGAAATGTCTGTGAGACTCTTATCTCCAATTAACCATCCTAAACCAGAAATGGAACTGTGGCCCAAGTGACAGACACTAGCCTTGAGCAAAAAAAAGCTCAGGGACAGCACCCAGGATCTGAGTTCAAGCCTCCATAACCAACAACTCTCTCTCTCTCTCTTCTCTCTTCTCTCTCCCCTTTCTCTCTCTCTCTTTCTCACTCACTCTCTCTCTCTCTCTCACACACACACACACACAAACACATGCACACACACAAGATTAATGAGCATGATTTTCCTAGTGAAAATCCCATGATCACAACAAGTGATGGACAATTTATGGACAGATGGTTTCTTCTCTGCCCTTCAGAGTCCCCTCTTCCTTATCCCCCAAATTTACCTTAGTAATGGTTAAATCTTGCAGAAAAGAAATGTAATTAAAAGCCCTCTAGATCACAGTAGCTAAAGAGGATGTGGACATGCTCAGACAAATTATTTTCCATCTCTAAAATAGATGGAAATAGATAGATTGCATGCCTGGGCACCACTAGGGATGCTTGTAAAACAGCCACTCCCTGGGCCTACACAGACTCAGGAGCTCCGTGGAAAGACGGAGAAATCTCTTCCTAGATGATTCTCAGAAGAATTGTCTCAAGCCTGAATTAGGAATTTCAGGACATCCTCTCCATTTTTAGCAGTTTAGGAGCTGCAAGGACAGGAACAAAGGCTTTTAGGAATGACCTTATTTATGATCAAGGACACTTTGACTAATGTTGCCATAATGAAGAACATTCACCTAAATGTTAGATACTAACACAACTCACTTTATTATTCTGATGATTATGTTAGCTACAGAATGCCCTTCACTGTGATCTATGACCTAGCCACAGCACATTTGGTTTTGCATTTCAAGTGTAATGAACCACATCTATCTGGAGAAACATGAGCTTGTGAATTTTAACCTGTTAACAATACCATGAAAGAGCACAAGGACTGCCTGGGCTATGCTTTGCTACCGTGTGTGTGTGTATGTGTGTGTGTGTGTGAGAGAGAGAGAGAGAGAGAGAGACAGAGACAGAGAGACAGAGACAGACAGACAGAGAGAGACAGAGAGAGACAGAGACAGAAAGACAGAGAGAGACAGAGAGAGACAGAGAGACAGAAACAGAGACAGACAGACAGAGAGAGACAGAGAGACAGAGACAGAGAGACAGAGACAGAGAGAAAGAGAGAGGAAGGGAGGGGGGAGAGAGAAAGAAAGAAAGAAAGAAAGAAAGAGAGAGAACAGAGCCTTTGTAACAGAGTCTAACTTTGAATTTCTGCTTTAGCCTCTTGTGTGCTGAGATTACAGTGTGTGCTCCCATGCCCATCTTGTCTTTGGATTTCTACTAAGAATGCTCAGATCCCTAAAATGAGAATTAGGTCATTCCAGAGATCACTCACATTTATCAACCTGCATTGGTGCTTCTGCACAGCAAACTGACAGGAAATAGCCCCTCAAGCTATGTACTTATGACCATATAAGATGATGTTAAGTGAAATGAAGCCCAAGATAGGGATACAAGTGTTTTTTCTTTCTTGTTATTGTTTTTTTTAACATATTTATAATATACCATGTGAACTTTTTTGTATTTTTGGTATGTTCCTCCTCCGTGGTATAACCCATCTTCACTGTATTTGATTCCGGTGTCCTGCATCTTGTATATACATTTTTCTAATTTGGGGAAGGGAAGGGAAATAACAAAATGCTTAAATAAGAACACAGGTTGACCCATTGTAACAATGAGATGTACAAGACACTATGCTGAAAACGAACTTTACAACTTTGGCTGGGGTGGGGTTGGAGGAGTTGGGGAGGTGGGGAGGGAAGGGATGGTAGGGGAAAAACAAAGGAGGAGGTAACAATGCTCAATAAGAAATGTATTCATTACCTTACTCATGAAACTGTAACCACTCTGTACAGTATTTTTACAATAAAAACATAAAAAAGAATGTAGACTTTATGACTTCATTCACCTAATTAATTTAAGGAATTTGCTATACTAAAATCTGTCAAAACCAAATTCTTTTCTGTCCTCTTTTCTTTTTCTCTTAAGAGAAATACCTCATTCATTCTCATCCAATAGGTATTGATTGTCTCTCGTGTGCCATGGGCCAGGCTTTGGGAATAGAAAATAAGATAGGCTTCTTCTCTATTCATTCTCTATTCAGGGCTGACGGCAGGCCACTGCCATCTTATCAGATTCAAATGTCAGAAACAGCAGCTTGGCTTGTGCTCGATCAGTAGGCAGGAAGAGGACAGTGAAGGCCAAGAGACCAATTTGTTGGCTGCAGTTCTTCAGGCAAGTAATGATGATGGACAGGGAGAAAGCAGCATCAGGGAGACGGATGCAAGAAAACAAGCTTGAAAAGTATTTAGTTTAGCAGGTAGAACTGAGAGGATGTGGTAGCTGGTGATTGTCAAAGTTGGAGAAAATTCGAGAATTAAGAGTATTTTTGGTAGAGTTAGAAAAGATGGGTCTGATTTTGGATGTTGTGTACCAGAAGGTAATTTGGAGACTTGGTTGAGCTTAAGATGTAAATTTTGGTAGTGTCCTTGAAGTCTTTAGAACCACCTATTGAATACTTATTATTTTATTAACTATCTGACATTGAGAATATTATGTTGGACACTGGAGTCACAGTGAATTAAACAGAGGAGCTTAGAGAAAGATAAGGACTCAAGAATAGCAACATATAACAGCCAGGCAAGGAAAGAACAATCCAACAAGGAATCTAAAACAACCTTTACAGAAAGCTAAGAGGAAAACCAGAGCGAGTGAGGGGAGATGCTAGAGTTAAAAGAGAAGTGTTTCTGGAAGAGAGAAATAAACAATGTACAATGTTTCCAAGCAGTTCAGTAAGGTAGATACTGGAGGTCCTGGAAAGTTGACTTTCCCAAGAGAGCATTGCTTTTAGTGGCAATAGTAGTGTGAGTTTCCAGAATGATGATGGAGAAGACTTGCAATAAATTTTATGGCAGAAAAGAGAGAGGGTGATAGAGGAATGGGAAAAGTTGTGTCTGATTCAATCTGCTCTCACTGAATGATATGGGGTGTAATGAACTGAATGTCTGTGTGCTCCCAAGAATCACAACTAAAATTCTAACTTGTTGTGTGATGATGTCACGAGGCTAGGCCTTTGGGGGGGATGGTTAGGTCTTGAGAGAGGAGCCCTCATGAATGAATTGAATTAGTGTCTCTATAAAGAGAACCCCAGAGATCTCTTTTGGCTTGTGAGGAAATAAAACAGCATTTTTGCAGATGCAGTCTGGGGCATGGTGATCACCAGCAGCCCCACTGTGCTGCTGTTCTTGGACCTATGGTCTCCACAAATAAATGCCTATGGCTCCAGCCCCCTGGGCTACAGACAGTTACAGTCCTTGATAGATTAAGGGGGTGGGGAGAGGCATGGGTGTGTGAACAGAAGAAAACTTACAGGAGGAATCATCTCAAAGAGGGCACTCAAGACACAAGACAGAGGGCATAACCACTGGAGGATCTGGGAGAGGCAGGCTGCCCAGCCCAGGGAGTGAGTACTGAGCTCTCCCTGCAGCTGTGCAGATGCAGTTCCTTGAGAGGGCAGGTAGCTGCTCTGTCTAGTTTGCTCGGGAGGTAGGAAGCAGGAAAGTCTGCTGGGAGTGGGTGGTGTGGACGGAGGTGGGGAGAGAATGGGAGTTTTAGAACAGCTTCTTTTGAGAACAGAAAATCAGGAAGAACTGAGGAGCAGCACAGAGGAATGGATAGGTGGGTGGGAAATGAATACTGCCTTAGTGTTCAGCTTTTGGGTTAAAACCCAGCCTCAGATTAAACAGTGAGGATGGAGGGATGAGGCCAGAGATAAAGGTCATGGAGGTCATGGCTGCAGGAGGGCAGAGGAGGTGTAGGAACTTTCACCTGCCAAGGCAGCTGCTAATGAAGGAAGGAAGAGGAAATTCATTCCTCAGCTATGTAAGTGACATCAATGAGGAATAGCTTCTAATGAGGGCTCAATGGCCCACACAGGTCCTGTGCATATGAGGTCAGGCTTGGAGGCTACTCATTATTCAACCCTAGTGATTGTTTAAATGTGTGAAGATTGATGTGAAGAAATAAGAATCTTGGAACATCTTGCTAACAGACTATTTAAGTTAATGACTGAATAATTTCTTCAGATGAAATGATAGAGCCACTTATAATACCAATTTTCTTTTCCCTTTGAGATGTTTAGGACCACAGTGGCTCTGGCTACATTTCTTTAGGGGGAATCACATCTTTTAGAGAAGGTATGGAGTATTTCAAAGATTTCCAGTCTGGGATCTATACCATCAGAAATGTGTGCAGTGACTTTTTTTGGGGGGGCGGGGAGGGTAGGTAGACAGTACTTAGTTTTCTTCTTGCACACTAATGTAATTTGTGTTCATTTGTGCCCAAGAACAATGCTCATGCTTACTCCTGTGGTGCACTGGTGACCACAGGTGGGCATTGTGGATTCTGAGGTGTTCAGAGGAAGTTGGGGGTGGGGATTCCAGTTGCTGTGGAAGTTGTTTTCACTTCCAGCATCTTAGAAATATGTGCCATTGCCATGTGATACTCTTATCTGGCTTTAATTAAGGTGATATACACAAAGGGCACAAATGTCTTTAATGGGTTTCTGACAAGATCCTGTGGATTGAGGTTCTTACTAACAAGTAAACACAGAAGAAACAAAACCTCAGAGTGAGTCAGGCACTGGCGGCTCACTCTTCTCAGAGGATCACAGTGGGAAGCCAGTCTAGGCAGAATAGTTTACCAGACTCCATGTCAAAATCACTAAAAAAAAGGCATGGCTCCGCAGTAGACTGCAGCCAGGTGACAGGCTGTGGGTTCAAAACCCAGTACCTCCAAAATAAAGAACAACAAAAACCCCAAATCCCAAGAACATATCACTATCCACAGAAAAAGGCAGACACTAGAAAATGTAGTGCGATCCAGCAAGTAATTGGTGGAAAATTTAATTGCTTAATTATTATAAACTAGGATCATCAAGAAGACTGTTAGAAATATGAATTTATATTTACCTAAGTATATATTTTGGTTCTCTTTTACTCAAATACCAATTTATTAAGTAAATAGATATAAGATATCATGATTAGCTAACCATTTCAAGTATCATTTTATCTTTCCCTCATCCTACAAATCTCCAGCAATCATTTCATATATACATTGATGTATTTATCTATATTCACAAGCTGGGGACTGAACCCAGAACCTCAAGCATGCAGCAAGTGCTACCACTGAGCAGTATCCTCCCATTATAAACTTTATACTTTATAATGTTCATAATTGTTAGTGTAATATAGAAAGAACTATATATCATACCCAAATATAAAGTATATATACTTTTTTACTTATTTGGAGTGGGAACTGACTTTTTTGAAGTTTAAAATGACATCTTTATTAAGTTGTTGAAATAAAATGCAAATAAGCAAATGGATAATCTATAAAATAAAACAATCACATGTTCAGGGCAAACATTATTAATCTTTTGATATTTGTTCTTTGATATTAATATGGGTATAAGGTTTATATTTTAAAGCATTTCTCAAAAATGACAATGAATCTAATGTCATAATTTTCTAGAACAAAAGGCATCGGAAGCAGGTTTTCATGACAAATTTTTCTACTATATCATTTCAAATGACTAGTATTCCAGAATATAGATATTCCAGATCTTTTTTAGAAATGCTTTTTAAAAACTTCATTGTAAAGGTGATGTACAGAGGGGTTACAGTTATATAATTCAGGTAATGAGTACATTTACTTTTGAACAATGTCACCCCCTCCCTATTTCCCTCTCCCCCAAGTTTTATAGTTCTTTTCCAACATAGTGTTTAGTGAGTGTCACTGCTGAATTGTCTCACTCTTTGTCCCACTGTTTCTGTGCTTCTCCTTTCCCTCCCCAAATCAGACAAACAGAAACAGGACAAAAGTTTAGACTCCATTGTTCTAATGGCATGTCAATGCCAAGAATAATGTGGAATAATGTGTGCCAAGAACAATGTGGAGTCCCTTTTTATTCTCTGCCAACATGACAGCTTACCTTTTGCTTTTCTTTCGCCGTCACAGATTGCTTAGAACTTTCTACAAGGTGGAAAAGTGCTTCGTGCTTCTTGGTACTCACCATTAGTTTTTTCTTAGCCTATGGTAAAAAATATACAAACAAGAAAAAAGATAAAAATATAAAGAGAGAAGCTGTTGTGTTTTGGAACGAGGCAAGTTCTTGTAAATGACTACATTATTTTTCCTTCTTCATTCCCACTTGACCTCAAAATCATCCTAAAATACCACCACAGCCAACACTTTATTGGAGAACTGCTGTGCAGGTGTCATCATATTGGGGATATTCAAGAGGGTTCTACTTTTTGCTACATCAGAATGCCTCCAAGCCTCCAAGCTCACATAATGGCTTTTGCAACAAGTATGTAAAATTGTTCTTATCATTCTTTTAAATCAACCTTGAGCCACAACTGGGGTTGTTTTGAAATATTATCTTAAAAGTTGGGCAAGGAAGCCAGGCTCTGGTGGTTCACACCTACTAGCTACTCAGAAGGCCTTTTACCTCCAATTTACCACCAAAAAGCCAGAAATGGAGCTGTGACTTGAGTGATAGAGCACACACACACACACACACACACACACACACACACACACACACACACACACACACACACACACACACGATGATCAAGGGAAGAAATCTTGTTCCTAATTCTCAGAACTGAGAGCATTTGCCTGGCACCCTCTGAAATGCTCTGTATTTATTGAGTAGACTGAGGGAAGAGATAAAAAGGAAAAAGTAGCAATGTCTCTACATCTGGGGGATATCTCAGTGCTCAGTGTGAGTTATAATTCAGGTGATGCTTTTTCTTTTAGCTCTGCAGCTGAACTTGGTCGAAAGATGGTGCCCCTGAGGTACAATGTGCAGACAGATTTGGGGTTAAGTTGAATTCAGTCCATTCAGGAACTAGATTGATTGCAAAGGTGGCTTTTCTTCTCAAGATTTTAAGAACTAAAAACCTGGACAATGAAGGTTGAAAGTGTGTATCTCTCCCCTTGGACTTTTACCTTTCTGGAAACACATAAAGGCCCCATAAGAGGAATTCAAGGAACAAGCAGTTCCCAGCCCTTTCCCTACCACCTTCAGCCTTTCCCTCTGTCATTGGCAAGAGCAGGAGACAAGAATACCTGGCCCTTTAAAACTTTGCATTTGTGTCTCCAAAATAGATTGTGTTTCATTATCCATGCACTGGATCCCTTGAATTGCAACTAGGGAGAAAAATTACTATAGTTCAAGGATTTCATCTTCTTTAATTTCTCTGTCACTCTTCATAAAGAATAAAATCACTTTATTTAGGAAGATGACTTGGTATAAACTGGGAAATAGCAATGAATGTCTTTGTTCTTAAAAGCAGTTGCTGTGACTTTTAGTCCATTGTCTTGAACCTCCTGTGAGGACTATTTTAAGAAAATTGGTTTAAAAAGACAAGTCCTTCTAACGAAAGCTCAGGAAATCAAGAGCAAGATTAAAACCAAATGACTGGGAAATACATTTTCTGAAACTTTAAAGTATTTATTCTAACAGCTGTGAGTATGGAAATTTTTTGCTCTCAAACATTTTTTCAGTATCATCCTTGGTCTATAGACTCTTCATGTTCAAGAGAAGCTTTAGAAGTAACTATGAGGCCATTATATCTCAGAGTAGCTTTGGTTATTTGGTACCAGTGGCTGTTTACTTGTGAAGGCTCTCTTTGGATACTAACATTTTAGAGACGCAAAAAGGAAAACATAAACTCTTAGAATACAATTCCTCACCAAAGTCACCACTAGATTTTTCCTAGAAGTTTCTCTGGTCTCTTATTTGTCTTATTGAAAGTGAATTCCTCCTCCACCAAATTATTCTAGAATAATCTTCTGTACAAGTGCATTCCATCTGCTATTTTTGCTGTTTAAGAACTAAAACTGATGCGTTCTAGTTTCTCAGACCACCAAGACTATAATTCTCTCCTTAGAAATTATTCCAAGGGGGTAGTCAGTATGGTATAATGATGAAGAACAGAGACTCTAGAATTAAAGAACTTGTAAGAATTCTTGGTTAAAACATTATGTATGTTTTCACATTACTTCAACTACTATGTTTGTCTCACCTTCCCCACTTGTAAAATGGGACAATGCAAGGTCATGGATCATGTTGGACTAATGATGATTAAATATATAAGCATATAACACTTGGCACATAATAAATAATGAGTTAACCACAATATATGCCACATTTTGAGACATGCTCTTCTTTGCTTTTTTTGAAAAATGCTTCTATGGAATAGTACAGCTGAAGAAATGTTTTTCTTTGCAATTATCACCTAAAAGTCCTAACATTAGAATACATGATTGTGTACATGCAAAAACAAATGCTATGATCCTAAGAAGTGACTTTGTGCAAGTATTATTTGTGGATACTTACCTTAATTTGCTGATTCCAGTTGCTAATAACAAGATTTGCTGTCTTTCCAACTTCATTATCAAGCTATTAGGAAATGAGAAAAATAATTTTGTTTTCTTCTTTAGTCACTGCTATTGAGTTGAGTATTTGTGTGTATTCCCCTCCTCTTCTCCCCCCCACTTCCAAATTCATAGGTTCAAATCCTTTCCTTCAGTGTATTGGTGTTTAGAGGTGAGAACTTTGGGAGATAACCCAGGCTGGACTTGGACTTTACCCTCTTATCCCAATCTTCCCAGTGCTGGGATTACAGGTATGCACCCCCATCCCTAGCTCACTTTTTCACTATTATAAACAATGCTTAGCAAACCTCCTTGTCCATAAATCTTGAGTGTGTGTTTTTGAGTACTTTTTATAAAAAATTCTGAGACTTAGTATCACTTTCAGACCATCTTTTCCCCAGTAAGCCACAAAATCTTGCTTTGAAAATAAAAGAAAGGGGAGAAAAAGAAAGAAAAGAAAAGCACTTTAAGACTCACAGATTTTCTCTTCTTCTCTTGTCTATTGAGTACTTGATGAGTTGGTTTTATTGCTTCCAATTCAATTGCTTTGCCAAGTTTTCTGGAAATAGAACATTAAGACATATAATCATTGTCTTAGGGTTTACACGGGCTTTCCAAATGACTCTCTAGGGAAATGGCGTGTACTAACACATTTACTCAGGGCCAGTTTGAAAGAGAATATTTGTATCCCTCCCACTTCTAATATTTATGGCTCTACTTGGAGCTGGAACAAGCCAGGGTGGGTCTGGAAGCACTCACTGATGCAGGTCTGCGGCAGATTTCATGCCTTCGGAAGCCCAGGACCATGCACTGCTGAGGCAGCTAGAGGCAAAAGAAAGGGGGTGGGAAGAAAGAGTGGGTGTCACCCTTCCAGTGAACTCTGAAATACAAAGCATCATGCCCAAGGCACCACATTCAGCCACCGTGTTCATCTCTTTAACCTTATTCCAATCTCTATGAGATTCAATTTGGCCAATGTGTTGATTTGTATCATAGACACTGCTTTGCCCTTTCCCCCAGTCACTTTTCATTTTCATCTTTCATTTCACATCTGTAGAAAATCCAGGCATGAGAGCAGATAGGGATGGGATTCTAGGTGAGAGGGATTCAGAGATCATCTTTTCAGATTCTTCACTTTGTGGGTCAATAACTAGGCTTTGGAGAAGTGACACACGGCAGGAATCTGGTCACTTCTTGCTTGCTGCTCTTAGGCCTGGGGTCCATTCAGACAACTTTTTATGGTCCTATGAGCTGTTTCCAATGAACACAAAGGGCAGCACTGATCTGTCCCTAGGAGAAGCATCTTATCTTCCCCATAGAAGGGCCCCAGCCTTCAGAAGTCCATAGAGGCTGTCTTCAGAAGTCAGGACGCTAAACCCAATGTGTCAATAAACCTCAGGGCTAGATATCTTGATGAATGGGGTGAAAAGGAGCTGCATCTCTGTCAACATCAGAATGGTACAGGTGTTTTGATGCTTATGGGTGAATTTGCTCCCTAAATTTGGAAAATGTCAGATGTAATACACAATTAAAATCAGGTACAGGGCAGTACCTATTGTGTGCTTCCAAGGATCAGCAATCCCCAAAAAGACAAAATTAATCTAGATGGACAGATCAGGTGTGAGCCAAGTTTGGGTATGTTGAAAATGTTTTGACTTGGTCAGTCAAAGTGGACCAAACTACTACTTAAAATGAATGCTTATTATTCTTATTATTATTTGTATGTGGAACAAGGGATTTAACCGAAGGCCTACCACTTGAGCCACATTGTTTGCTTTCTTGCTTTATTTTTCAGATAGATCCCATACTAACTTTCTCAAATGGTGATCCTTTTACCTATGCCTCCCAAGTAGCTGGAACCAAACCCGTATGCCACTCATGCCTGGACTAGAGGTACTTTTTCACAAAAGATGTCAGGTACATTTTGGGGAAGAGCAATCTCTTACTTGCCCTACCAAACTGGGCAGTAAGACAGGAAACATGGCAAGCTTGCTTCAGGGTAACTGGTCTAAAATCTGATGATTTACTGTGTTTGCTGTGTGACCTTGGAATAATCATTTCTTCTCTGTCCCTCACTTTAAAAATACATTGGGATGGCTGGGCAAGTATCTATCACAGAATTCTGTATGGACAAAAATTCAATTACTGTTTATTAGCAAATTGTACTAGTGCTGGTTAACTAGATGTGGATCATGCCAACCCTTTAGTAGTAGCGTGCTGAATACTGCAGTTGGAACACAATAAGACCCCCACCCCTCACCAGGGCTCTTTATTCTTTAGGAGGTGGTTGAGTAATTGAGAATTAAAGACAAAGCTGGCTGTAGCTGGGTGACAGTGGCTCAGACTTGTAATCCTAGCTACTCAGGAGGCTAAGATCTGATTATCACAATTCAAAGCCAGACCAGGTAGACAAATGCAAGAAACTCTTATCCCCAATTAACCCACCAAAAGCTAGAAGTAGTTAAGTGCCAGCCTTGAGAGAAAAAGCTAATGGACATCATCTAGACCATTAGGATAAGCCCAATACTGGCATACAGAAAAAAATGGAATCAAAATGGGTATCTATGGAATTTTTACTCTAGGCCAAGTATTCTGCTAAGCAACCTCATTTTATCTCTATTTCCAAATAAAAGAGATGTTGAGAGGGAAGGACAGTTGTTTTATGTCACTCAGTATGTGATAGAACTAGAATATCAACAAAAATCTATCTGTGCTGTGCTGTACTGACTCCTTGTTCTCTACAAAAGTACTATCCTTAAAAGAATAGTAAATCCAAGAGTCATGGCCATGTCAAGGACATCATTTGCCATTACAGGTACTGCTTAAGTTGGGGTGGAGATTTTGGCCCCAGAACCTTTCAATTTCCTGTGCTTACTCTTTCTCTAGCATCATTGTAAGGAGCTTTTGCAATAGCTCTGTCAATGCAGAGTCATATCTACATGCATTAGTCAAGAATCTTTGTAGCAAATGATCACTAATGGACCATTTTGCCAGCATCACTATCTTTCACTTGTCCTCCAAAAGAAGGAATCTACTTCATTCCTATGGCTGCAAATATTGAGGAGAATATGAGCCATGTTTGTACCTAATGTGCTAAACTTCTTTATACATACTATATCATTTAATATGCATGACCTCCTTTTACTTACATATACGAAATCATTCTATATATCCCATACATATACATGTACATAGCTTAGAACACACATCCCTATTTCATTCAACAGAGGAAGAAATCAAGGCACAGAGAAGCTGAGTTTCTTGTCAGAGTCACCAAGTAGAGACAACAGACTTCATACTTCCTGCCTCCAAGACCTGGCTCAACACACTTCCGAAATTAAATGTCATTACCAAGTCAATGACAAATATGGTCTCAGGAGCAATAAAGACCCACCCAGCTGTACAAAGCATTACCCTTGCAATGGGATACTATTTCTTAAATTCTACAGACCTCAAGTTCTCATCTGCAAAGGGAGATAATGATGAAACCTCATTATCTTTGCCAAGTCTGCTGCAAGGATTAAATGGAGCATCTGTAAAGCTTTTAGCACAGTGCCTGACACATAGCAAACACTAAGACTTGGAAGCCATGTCACAAGTATAAGAGGAAGCTAGCTTGAATATTTGCCTTTTTTTTATTATTTTAAGGAATGATTTGGCCCCATCTCTGCCATGATACTTACTTTTTCTTTGTGTTCTGTAATGCTTTGTTTAACTTGGCTGCCAGTTTCTGAAGTCCTTTGGCATAGCTAATCTCCAGATTGGCCCTGTTAGCAAAGGGCTAGTTGTTAATCGGATGTGCTGGTTGCAAGTCAGTAAAAAGTACTCTCACACATAGCACTCACACTCAAAGGAGGGTAGGCTGACTATGTAATGCCATCATAAAAATCCTCTTGTCAGTCAGCAAATCAGTAAGGGTATGGAAGTGGAACCTACAAGGAAGAAGTATTTATATAACCTTTTCTTTTCTTTTTTTGTCAGTTGTGGGGCCTGAACTCTGGGCCTGGGCACTATCCCTGAGCTCTTCAGCTCAAGGCTAGTGCTCTACTACAGCATTGCTTCTGGCTTTTCTGCTTATGTGGTACCAAGGAATCGAACCCAGAGCCTCATGCTTGCAAGGCAAACACTCTACCACTGAGCCACCTTCCCAGCCCATATATAACCTTTTCTTACACCAGTGTTATGGACTGAATTGTGCCTCCCTAAAAGATGTCAGATCTCTGTCCTCAGAGCTTGTGAACGGGAAATGGGGTCTTTGTAAATGATGGTCGAATTGAGATGAGCTCATCAAGGTAGGACATGCCTAATGATGATGTATCCTTATAAAGTAAGGGATATTTGAATACAGAGCCAGACATGCTCATACAGAGAATTCCACAAGGGAACACAGGGCAGAGATGGAGGTGACAGCTATAGAAGGCAGAAGCTGAGAGAAAGCCATGATGAGCTCCCTCACACTTCTCAGAAGGGGCCAACCAGGCTGACACATAGATCTCTTACCTCTAGTCTCCAGAACTGTGATGTAGACTTAGAAAACTAATACAGCTATCTAGTAAGAACAAAGTTGCACTGATCACTTTTCCTTTTTGGTTTTGTGATCCTGGAGGTTGGACTCAGGAGCCATGCTTGCTCAACAAGGACTGTACCACTTGAGCTATGGGCCCTAGCCCCAGCACTAATCAGATTAACTCCAAATTATGGAAGGCTCCTATTGCAATGGCCAACATCAGATGAACAATATCAAACATCCATGACTTTCTATGCAGGACAAGACTCAGCAGGAAGTATGGGCGGGCGTTCCTCTGAAAAGCAGCCTACTTGGCTCCTTTAAAGAGATTGAATCACATTTTTCTAAAGGCATTTCATCAATTCCTATTTATGGATTCATCTGTAGCTATATATAATAAGGCCATATTCTTGTTCATCTCACTTATTTTTGTTTTTGTTTTTCTGTTTTTAGATATGGTGCTGCTGTATAGCCCCGGCTTGAACTTAACCTTTCTGTCTCAGCATCCATTCAGTGCTGTGTTTACAGGTGTGTGTCACCAAACTCAAGGATCATCCTTTTGACTGCTGATCACAAAATATAGGAAATTAAATTCAACATATTTTCATTCTTAGTGGTGATCATAATAAGTTTGGTTTCCTGGTTTTCAGTGTTTCAGTTCTATTTTTAGTATAAACTATCTTTTAACTCACTTCTGACTTAATTTAATCTGAGAAACTGTCCCAGATCTCTCCTTATATAACTTTATTACTGCACATTCTCATACAAATGAGACTTAGTGTTATAGATTGAATTCAATAATGACAGACAACTACAATTCTCTTTTATGTGTGGACTGTTAGATGCAGAAAATAGATATTTGGTATCAGAACTTACCCAGTATAGAAGGGAAAATTACGGCAAGTAGTTGAAAATAATGAAGCTGGTAAGTAAACCTCTCATTGAGGGAAAGAGAGAGAGGAGAAGGAAGAGAGATTTATAGATGCTTTATAATCTTGAAAGGTGAGGTGGCTTCAAGCTTCAGGCAATGCTGACACAGAGTAAAGGAAATTGTCTTGAGGAGTTTTATGAGGATTAAAATGTGGTAATGACCTAAATACAGTAGGTACTTAACAACTAGAGCCATTGTTATTAACCAATAAGACCTGTAAGGCACTGTATGTTTTGATCCCACAGCTCTCTTCTTGATTTGCTTCTCTGATAGTCATCCCTTTCCCCATTCTTCTCCCAGCAGTAACTAGCTAACTGCCATCTTGCTCCAGGACCTTTGCGCTGACAGCAGCTTCTCCTGTGCGTTTTTCTCTTGTTACCTAACCACAGGGCATTCTCCTTCATGTCATCTTCAATATGTCTTGTTCAAATATCATCTCTATGAAGGCCATCTTGTCTAAAGCAAAATCCTGTCATTGTGCCCTTTAAGCTCCACTTGTATCCTATAATTTATCACTACCTTTTTCACATTACATTTTGATGTACATTTTTATAAATTCCTGTAAATGTAAACTGTTTCATGAACCTCAAGACTTTCTTTTTTTCTCATTGCTGAGTCCCTAGGCCAAGAACAGTTCTTTTTTTTTTTATTTTGGTTGTGGGGCTTGAACTCTGGGCTTGGGCGCTATTGCTCAGCTCTTCAGCTCAAGGCAAGCGCTCTACTGCTTGAGCCACAGCACTACTTCCAGTTTTTTAGTGGTTTATTTGAGCTAAGAGTCTTATGGACTTTCCTGCCCAGGCTGACTTTGAACTGTGATCCTCAGATCTCAGTCTCCTGAGTAGCTAGGATTACAGGCGTGAGCCACGGGCACCCGGCCCAATAATAGTTCTTGTTGCATGTAACACTCACCATTTATAGCATGAATGAATGAATGAATGAATGACAGATTCAGTAGACAGACTTCCAACCAGGTCTGAGTTGGAATTCTTACTAGTATCTGCTACAGGTCTGTTCTTGCCTCAACGCTTCCAAAAATATTAATCTAAGAAACTGTTTAGATGTCTTTATACTTGTAAGCTATGCATGGCCCTAACATCAGAGCACACTGCTTCTAGCACTTTAGCCACTGAACATATAAACCCATTCGCATTCATTGTGCCAGGATTCTTTAGCCTTTTCCTCATCCTATCTTCTTTAATGTAGCACATAATGCATTAAATATGATGCATTAATAGTGCTTGGCTTACAGTTCTGGGCACAAAACACAGTCTTATTAAATATGAATCCCTCTAATATGATTATTAGTGTGGATCAAAAAGTGGACAGGTACACACATGCAGAGGTGGACAGTGCAGAGGAAGAATGTGAGGTTTTCTCATCCATTGTCTACCCTGCTAACAGTCCCTGAGTGACCTTCAAGGGACAGGTTGATACTGTCAGGCTCAGCCTCTTCCTCAAAATTCAAGTTCACTTTCAGAATATTTTTATTTTTATCTTCCTCCAGATGAGGACACAAACTCAGTATCTGACATTTTCACTCACTGGCTGGCTCTCTACCACCTGAGCCACACCTCCAACCCCAACTTTCAGAAGGTTCTGAGAGGTTGAACACAGTGTTGCAGAGCTAAATAAAATAAAAAAGAACAACCAGCAGAAAGAAGTCTGCTTTCCCACTGTTAACTGCATTGAATATTCTCAGGAAGAAGGTTGGGCTTGGTAGCTGGAGAGGAGAAGACCCCTACTTGCTCTGAGGTGTTTGGTACTCTTGAGGCAGACCATCTCTGTTCTTGAGCATATGTTTATATTGGCCTCTTTTGAGCAGACAGGAACCAGACTAAGGAGACTCAGCCTTTCTAGCACTGGCAGGCTTCTCTTCATGTGTGAGTGTCTTAGCCATCTGTGGGAGGACATATGTGAACATTAACATGCTATCATCCTGCACAGGAAGAGAGTGTGTCCACACAGCGCTGTTCTGACAGTATGGGATATCAAGTTAGGAATGATGCTGATGCATGACCTGTGTTCCATCTACACAAAAATACCAGTAGCCAACACTTCTGGGCCACATACAGCATTCCAGAAACCAATCTCAGTGCTTTAGGTATAGTTTCTCATTTAATCCATGAAACTCTTCCTAAAGCAGGTAGTTTGTCTACCCATTGCATGGAGGGAATGCCAAGGTTGAGTGAGCTGAATCAGTCACAAAATGGTGGCCACCCAGGAAGGAGGTGACAGAGCTGGGATCATAATCTGGAAGCTCCGCTGGAGTAGCTTCTCCTTAATTTCACCGTTTTTCTGTCTTTGAATTTGTGGGATGTCAAACAGAGGTAATTGTAAAACTTGGCACAGTCTCTCATTTTGTGAATCACCACAGCTCCTGGTGGCTTGGTTGATAAAGATCTAGTTCAAAGCAGCCACAGGTTAGAAGCTGCTGAACAACCCAGGCCTCTTCCCAAAGCATCCGTGCAGTTGTAAAACATTTTGGAAATGGAGTCTGGCAAACTGGAAATGGCAAGGACTGACAACAAGAAATGTTATCAAACCCTCCTTTGAGGCTGGACAGAGTTTCTTTATCTCTTCATCGGCAATTTGTGGATGACCCCAAAGGGCCTTAGAATCGACATTTGAATCAGCCTAATAGAGTGGGCTGATAATTTCTACTCTTGCATTTGAAGTTCTGGTGGCCATTTGGAGAACTTCAGAAGACGACTATAAGGAAGAATTAAAAGTACTTACAATGAGGAAAGTGTGTGAAACACTATCTCGCAGGCTTGAAGAGCTCACTGAATCTATTTAAATTTTATTGCAAAAGTGGTGCACAGAGGGGTTACAGTTACATAAGTCAGGTAATGAGAACAGTGGTTTTGTTTTTTTAAGTGTTACCCTTCCCTCATTTTCTCCACTTCCCTCCCACTGACTCCCCTCTCCCCCCAAGTTGTAAATTTCATTTCCAAAATAGTATCTGGTGACTATCACTGTTGAATTGGTTCCCCCTTTGTCCCACAGTTTCTGTGATTCCTCTTCCCTTCCCCAAATCAGATAAACTAATATACAAGACAAAGGGTACAGAAATAAAAAAGAGTGCCAACAGGGAATAAATTGAAGGAGAAAAAAGAAAGAAAAAAAGAAATAATTGCAAGCAGCACAATAATAAATAAAAACCTCTTGTTTCCATTTCTTGGAGTTCATTCCGATAAGCATCATTTTATACAGTCATATGCACGTAGCTTTTGAGCCATTGTGATCCTCTGCTAGAATACACTAGACATAGTCTAGTTGTTACAAATGAAGGAAGCTATGCAGCTTATGTTTCTTTGGGGAAGCTATGC